GCTTGCGCCTTGCTTATTTCCGCATAAATCGCTTTCTGACACTTTGTCGCATCTGCCCCTCGAGCCCCAACCAAATCTGCACGGCACCGCGGCACCTACGCCTACCTTAACACAACTTAGCTCGAATTTCTGAGACCTCACCCTCCCGCACCATCACGAGCTCAACTTCTCCCCTTACCTCGCCGCGTGCTCCCGCTCCTCTCCACCACGAACCAGTTCGCACCAATTTTCAGAACCACCTAGAGCCGTGCGAGATCATGTGCTTCCATCACTCCCTATCGTCCCTTCATCAGCTGTAGAGCGTGGGGGTCAGAAGACGCTGTCGCCTGCCAGCCTCGTAACATCGTGCACTCGTCGCCTTACCTCATTCGCCTCGGCTTCTCCAACGACCTTGGTCAAACCTCTTACCTAGCTCAAGCTTTCATCCTTCCAAAATACCCCAAAACCCAGGGCCGGTTCCACGCACTCCTGTTATTGTCTTTGGACCTCTTGTCCAAGGCACAAACTACGAACAAGCTGGCTCCTTTCGGGCGATTTGGTCCGCCGCGTCCGCATCCTCATAACCGCACGAGTCTCCTCCGATACCTATTTCCACGAAGCGTACGAGATCGATACCGCGAGCGCGTTCTCAACTTTCGCCTCGATACTCTCCCGCAGCTGAAACACCGATTTCAGTCCAGCATCTACCGATACATCCTCGAGCGTCAGCGCAAGCGGAACGAAAAGTCGAGACTCGTCGACGTCTTTGCGCGGCATAGTCGCCGGCTGCTCCTGGGCCCGCCCTCGGTCAGGCCGAAGCGGCATGCGAGGGAGCGAGGAGGCGCTATAATTAAGAAGATGCCTACCTTCTCAGACTACACGACAACGTACGGCGGAGGCGGGGGCGGAGGCGCAGGAGGCGCAGGAGGCGCCAGCAATGGCAGTAACGGCTATGGATATGGCTCGGCAGAAGATCCGCCCACCCCAGGCGAGAGAGGGTTTCGGCGGAAATGGCTGGCTGCTAAGGCAGGGAGCATGTACCGGGCCGCTGCGGTAGGAGTCAACGAGATCAGGGAAGGCTATGCGCAGACGCGGGCAAGGCCTTTGGAGCCGGGTGAGGGTATGCCAAGGACCACGATTCCAGGATCGTTCCCTGACGTCGCCATCACTGTTCAGGGAGATGACCAGATGGTCATTTTTCCATCGTACGCAAAGCGACACGTCAAGCAAGATTGGTCGGCGGCATATCAGCAGCACGCCGAAGAAGAGCCTGGCAGCGCTAGGGACCAAGAGTTTTGGAGGAAAGAGTGGGAGCGTAATGAAGACGAGAAAGCCATCGTAGATATCGACGTTAGGGGCTGGGTGTACTCCCCGCATAAAGGGCCAATCACTCGGCGCAATCGCATACTTATCGGCCTCGCACGCCAGCTAAGCGGCATCCCAGCTCCCAGACAAGATGCTCCTGCGCCCGATAACCTCTCTGCGTTACACCAATCACACGAGGAACGGCGAGAGCAGGAAAAGATTGCGAAAGAAGCAGCAGAAATTGAGAAGAGGGGCCAGGAAGAACGGCGTGTGGCGTATCAAGGTGGTTTTAGCGAAGCGCCAAAGGACGGATCCGACGATGACGCGAATAGTATATACCGAGCGAGATCCAGGTCACGAAGCGGCACGCACACTCCAATGACAGCTCCCGGGTCTCCCAAATTGGCACCGACTAGGACAAACACTACGGGTAATGATTTAACAGATGCCGAGCTGTCTGTTGCGAATGCCAACCTCATGGCTAGGATAGCGCCGTTCATGACTACACCTCTAGTCCAGCTGCCCATCACTGTCTTCTTCTACAACGACGAGAAATCGGCGTCCCGGACTGTGCAGACTAACGACGCGGGCCACTTCATCCTCCGCGCCGCTTTGGAATTTGTTCCTACGCACGTCCGCGTCCTCGCTAATGAGGACTTGTCGGCGACACAGGAAGTCAAGATCATCGAACCGAAGGGTGTCAGCTTGATCAGTGACATTGACGACACGATTAAGCGCTCCAACATTTCGGGTGGCGCAAAGGAGATCTTCCGCAACACTTTTGTCCGCGAGCTGAAGGACTTGACGGTAGAAGGTGTTCGGGAATGGTATAACGAGCTACACTCAATGGGGGTCAGCATGCACTACTGTTCGAATAGCCCCTGGCAACTATTCCCAGTGCTGGCCAGTTACTTCATGATAGCCGGCTTGCCGCCTGGATCGCTCCATCTGAAGCAATACAGTGGCATGCTTCAGGGTATCTTTGAGCCAGTTGCAGAGAGGAAGAAGAGTACCCTCACCAGGCTCATGCACGACTTCCCCGAACGCAGGTTTCTCCTAGTTGGTGACAGCGGAGAGGCAGATCTGGAAGTCTACACAGAACTAGTGGAAGCCCACCCAGGACGCATCATCGCCATCTTTATCCGCGATGTTACAACCCCGGAGCAAGCCGGGTACTTTGATACATCTTTCGAGAGCAGCAGCGCACGTCAGAGGGGCTCAATGTCAAAGGCCACGGACCACAGTGATGCTCCAACGAATCGTCCGGGGCTCCCTCCACGCGGCGAGGCAAAGACGGTTGGGCCTGTCATGGGCGATCTGATCGACTTTTCCGACGAACCTGAAGAGACCACGCTAAACGACGCCGCTGCCCTGGCCCAGATCCAGGCCAGACCGAAGCCGCATTCAAGCACCACCGACACCGCTATTAGCCGCAAACCCCCTCCGCCACGACCGAACAAGCCAGCTACTCTTCGCGGCGCCCCGTCTGATACCAATGTGCCTACAATCAAGGTCAACAGCATGGGTGCGACGCCTCCCCCGATGCCGAGTACTCGGAAGCCGTCTGCGGACCGGAGTAATCCTCATCCTCTGTCGCAAATGCACAACTCATCTCAGCAGACGATCGGAAGTAACAGGAGCCTGCCGAGTACGGCTAAGATACCAGCTACCACGCCACAGAACGACGCTAGTAAGACAAGCAAAGTTGCACCGGCGCCTCCACCGCCTCGGCGTGGGGGGACCGCTTCTAGCTCCCGTAGTCTAAGCCCTCGCAGCCTCGATAGCCGGCGGAGACTATCGGCTAACGGAGACATCGACTTCGAAGCGCTGCCGCCTTCCGCCGCTTCCCGGCCACAGCAGGTTCAGCCGCCGCCATTTGTGAGGGCGCAGACGGCCAGTCTAAGGTCCGGATCCACATCCCCGACGTACGGCAGTCCAAACCTGGGGCCGACGGCGGCAGCACCGAATAGGAAGCATGAGTTGTGGATGCGTCGGCTGCAGCGGGCCCAGGAGATTTTGGAGTCGCACGGTGTGGCGCTGTATACCTGGCGAAGGGGCGACGACGTAGTGGCCGAAGCTGTGGGGATGGTGAAGGAGGAGCTCAAGAGAGTTGGCCTCAACGGTGAGAAGGATGCGAAGACGGAAGGGAAAAGGTTTGAGAGGCAGATTAGGAGGGAGCAGTCGCAGCAACAGCAGCATCAACAACAACGGCCTCAACAGCAGGGGGCGTACCAGCAAGGGTCATATCAACAAAGGAGATGATCGTGTAGAGGCTCCGCGGACGGCATCGGAATAACTGGAAGAGGAGGCGTGACTGGGGGAAAGTGGCAAGCCGAAAGGGATGGGTACGGAGAAACGGAATAATAAAGGCGCTGAGTGGGTAGTTGATTCAAGTAAATAATTCTTACCATCAAGTCTGAAATCCTTTCGAACCACGCGATGTCATGTTCCGAGGCGTTCGGCATGATGATCAACAGATCCATGCCCGTAGTTCTTCCGAGCATGATGATGGGCAAGGAGGCATGATGTAAGGGAGTCACGGACTGATGAGAGGACGGTTGATGGGAGGTATCAAGAAGAACGCATGGCATGTGTGGCACCGCCACATGGTCCCCCTCCCCACGAGGTTAGTAAGAACCGAACGCAAATAGTTCGGATACCCATCCCGAGCTATGGGAAAGCTCATAGAAAGGGAATGGAGAGAGATGGGATATGAACCCCACTAGAGGTAGTTTGAAGAATATTATGGTTGTGCTTCAGAATTGATGCACGTCCCCCTCCTTCTTTTTGAGGTAGATGACGGCACAATATCAGGTATCACATCCCACGAGTCCTGGAGTCCGAGGCTGCCTTACTCAGCTGAGTTGACAGCAGGAATCCAAGCATGGCTGGTCAATGGGTTGTCTTCAGCTGCTCTTTTTGAGGGTGTATCCCTGGGCTAGATGGGTAGTCGCGGATGCGACAGAGGCCCGTGTGGGATAGGAGTCTTGCATTAAGAAGATCAGACGTCGTTTAGATTGGTATTGTTGCCGGGACTCTGCGGAAGAGCATTTCCATGGTATTGGGATTAAATAGGGTCTGAGGCTGATTGGTGGGTTTGGTATAAGCTTTTTTTGAGTTGATTGTCCTCGACTTCCATCCCGTTCTTCTGGTACAGTACCTCGACGAACTAGATGGTATCTTTCCCAGATTTGTCCATCTACTGGGCAGGGATACTCGCTCCTTCGATCTGACTTGTCAGAAGAAAGCTTAATGCGCACGGGTTTCAGACGACTGGGGTCGTGTACCTTACGTGAAGCGCGCCAACGTTCTTGGATAGATTTTCTCTTCCTGTAAGGACCGTGCTTCTTGTGAGATGGAAGCGCATTGTGATCGTTGCGCGCGGGTTCGGGCTCGCGGGACAGTCGGGCTCTCAACCCAAAGATGGTCTATTGATTGAGCTTTGGGTGAGGCAACTGGGAGGATAGGGGTTCGTTGGCGATTGACAGCGGGCAGTTAGAAGACGAGAAACAAGTAGAACTTTTGGATATAAAGATGATAGAGTTCGCTGGTCCTTTGGGTTTTTGAATTTGGTTCATCATCGACGAGCTTTCAAGAGCTTCTCCCAATAAGATCACAAAGAACTCCTTTTTCGTTTCGTTTTACATCTTTTTGCTTGAACGACTGGGTCGTCTCATATGACAGCTGGTTTTATCAACACACCAAGAATCTCCCATATAGTAGAGCCAAGACTCGTCATCAAGTTCATCCCAACCGCCCTTCATCATAGCCAAGACGCTATCATCCACTTTCCCCCTCATTACGACCATCTCATCTCGAAGATAGTCCACTTTACGGAGCTAGACACACAATGTACATCCGAAACAACCTGCTCGTCTTGGCCCTCTGCCTCTCCACCCTAGGCCTCGCCTCGCCCACCACCAGCTCAAAGAGCGGTTCCAAGACGTCGCACAAGGGGAGCAGTGGTTCCTCCAAGGGCTCGAAAGCGCACTCTAGCGTCCCGGCTCATGCGCCAAAGGGTACTTCGGCGCCGAGTTCCGGGTCCGCTGCCGGTGGCGGCGGTGGTGGTTCCGCGGCAGGCAACGGGACGACCTCTGGCGGCGCCAACACGGAGCTGCAGACGACGTTCCCGACGGCCAAGGGGTCGCAGAACATTGCTGCCGTCAAGACCATTGCTGCGGGCCAGTCGTTTGACGGCGGGATGGTGATGTGGGATCGGAGTCCGAGTACCTGCAAGGGCCAGACCGAGGGCGGGAACAAGGACGCGGTGTTCATCCTCGAGGAAGGGGCTACGATTAGCAATGTGATTATTGGGCCTAATAATGGTGAGGGGATTCATTGTTTGGGGAGTTGTACCATCAACAACGTGTAAGTCAAAACCTGCCCCAAACCCACCTGTCCTACTCCCCCTCAACTCAATCTTCTTTCTCAAGTTCAGCCACTGACGTTCCCATCTACAGCTGGTTTCAAAAAGTCTGCGAAGACGCCATCACGTTCCGCCAAACGTCAGGCACATCCTACGTCAACGGCGGCGGCGCCCAAGACGCGGCCGACAAGGTCCTCCAGCACGACGGCGGCGGTACGGTCGCCGTCAAAAACTACTTTTGCAAAAACTGCAGCAAAATGTACCGCAGCTGCGGCAACTGCAAGACGCAGGTGGCGCGGCACTCTACATTTGACAATATCCGGCTCGACGGCGGGAAAGTGCTCAGCGGCGTCAACGGGAACTTGGGCGATGGGACGATTGTGAGGGACTCGTGCGTGCTGGGCGGCGCGCAGGTGTGTGAGAATTTTGAGGGGAATAGTAGTGGTGCGGAGCCCAAGTTGGTGTCGAGCGGGCCGGATGGGAAGTTATGTGTTGCTACAAATGTTAAGACGAGTGGGTGTTGAGGGGGTTGTTTGGGAAGGGATATGGAGAGAGTCTCGATGAGATTCTGGTGTTTTTGCGAGTAGGAATGGCTACTTCCGTTGTCTATACTTTGAAGCAGTACATATGATTTAGAAACGGCTCTGAGTCTGGGCCCACCTAGAGTTGGGCCGGTCTCTAGGCTGAAGCTGTAGATACTTTTATATTATCCCGAAACCTACTTTAACCACTGTCAACACGGAAGAAAACATCTAGCCTGCTTTCTTACGCGGTTCTCACTCACTCGGAATTATATAGACTGTCTTGACCGCCCTTTCCCCTTCTTCCTCTTTGACTTGAGAGCAAGTCCATTTGACTGCTTTACCTTGCTGCGTACTTTCTATAACTTGTGAAACATATTTCCGGCAACTTGGATAACTCGAGACCACAACTTGGATACACGGAATACATCTACGAGAATCTCAGACCCTGACTCTTTCGTCCACATGGTTTCCAAGGCTTCATGGGCGTGGGATGTCTGACCAGGATATCCCCTCCTGCCCACATTCGAAAGTCGCGCCAAATTTAATCGGGCCCGCCCTCATTATCCCCACCACATCCACAACGAGGGCTTTCAGAGTCTTTCTTCCTTCCCACAAGGAATCCACGCTCGATAATTGTAATTCTGAACTGACGCTTCCACATTCACTGAGCGAACCACTTCATTCTCATTGGTCTATTAGTCTAGTTGGTTAGGACGTCGGATTCTGATGATAGCTTCGCTTCTCAAGACTTCCGTAAGCCCAGGTTCGAATCCTGGATGGACCTTCGTTTACTTTTGCCGTTGCGCCATGTGGTGTTCGACCTGCGAACGTGAACATGTCGCTATGAACTTTTGCTAGGATTGACTTGCAACATCTTGATGCACGTTTTGCTTGAAACATTATGACGCCTTTGATTGCACCTACCGATATTGACAAGTAGTGTAGCCAAGGACTGAAGTAATCTTTGTAAGCGCTTGTGTGCGGGACAGAAGAGTTGTTTGCTGCGAATTATGTTTACATACATATGAATTTTCATTAAGACCTGTCACAGAGAGACAATGTGCACGCGGTGCTGAAACGGCGACGTCGAGTTTAACTTGATATATGGGGCATATTGCTGGGATGCACCAACCTCGAAGGCTAAATTACTCTATCTTGGCACCGCGTAATCCCCTTTGTTTTGTTTGATAGAACCCGAAGATCGGAAGAAGAAGACGCCTGCATGTTCGTCACTGTCAAAAACTCCAAGTTGAGTGCACTCGTGCTTCATATCAAGGGTTAAGAATCGGGCATGCCGTTGAGTAATACGGAGAAAACAGGGGAACATCAGGCAATGCTACCGCGGGAGAAGTTTTCTCGAAGCCCGTCATGGCCTGATTGCCCAATGTGGCCGAAAGGACCGGGCTTTCAGGGAGATCGGACCGGGGTCAAGGGGGGCTATCGGCTGTCCGCCGTTTGCCGAGCGCGGCATTGTGGGGAGCATGGACGGGGTTTATCTCGTATCGTCAGGGGATCACCGTATTCAATGGTGACCCTCTAATAATAGGGATCATGTGGATATCTCTAGGCAATGGTTAAGATGTGAGGAAGTCCCTATGGTTCGCGGTCTAGAGGGGGATTTCGTGACAGCACTTGCTCGAAAGACCGAGACTCAAATTCGTTGATCATTTGCCTTTGGGCAGCTTTCTATCGTTCAACATGTACCCTCACTCGTTCTTGGGTCTTTTGACTTCGTGCCTTTCGATTTGCTCTGTTGCCCATGCAATTCCAACAGAACGACGCCAGGCCAACGATACCTCTGCCGACGTACAGACCTACTTCAACCTAGATGGCGCAGCGCACGGCGACAGGGTCAAGACACTCATTGCTGATGGCTACCGCATGATATCCTTGAGCAACTATGGCACAGCGCCGGGCGCAAAGTATGCCGCCGTCTGGGTACGGCGGGATGGAAACCCTTTCGAAACGATCTACGGCGCAGACGAGGCGACGTATGATGACTGGTTCGACTCGTGGAAGTCAAAGGGCTATGTACCGACGCACATCTCCGTCACGGGACCGGCTGGCAGCACCACCTATGCGGGCGTCATGGAGAAGGCCAATATCACCAACTGGACACAGCTTTGCGGTCTCAATAACCCCTATGAATTTGACAATGCGACCAATGGTATCGAAATGGTCGTGAAGGGCTTCAGCATGTACGGCACCCCGTCGGACCGCCGGTATTGCGTTCTGGGCCATGAGAATGTCGGAAACCAGATGTCTACTATCTTCTACTCATCCGGTAACTACACCATCGACTATCCCAAGATCTATGAGTCGGAAACAGCGAAGCGCTTCTGGAGACCATCTCGCCTCTTTCTCTCAGACGATCACGTCGTGACTCCCCAGTTCGTGGACACCACCGTTGGGAAGTGGGTAGCTATGAACGATCTCACGGCCGAAGAGCTGTCTTCTCAGATTGAATCGCAGAAGCAGCAAGGCCTTCACCCAATCGACCTCCACGGGGGTGCTTCTGGACAGGACGTTCGCTTTGCCGTCATCTTCGCTGAAGAAGACATTCCCGAGCCCCGAAAGTGGACCGCCACCGGCTCCTTCACCGGCTTCAAAGACAACACGGGTGCTACAATGGCCTTCGACACCGCAATGCAGAGCTGGATGAAGAAGAACGGTGTCCGCCAAGCCCAACTCGCGATCACGTCCAACGGTTCGACCATTGCCGAGCGTGGATATACCTGGGCGGAGAACGACCGTCCCATCGTCGAAACGGACGACATCTTCCTTCTCGCAAGCGTGAGTAAGATCTTTGTTCACGCGGCCATATTCAACCTCATCGAGGCCGGGAAGCTCAATTACTCCACGGCCGCATACCCCTTACTCGGATACGACAAGCTTGCAGACGCCCGCGCAAAGGACATCACCATCGATCACCTCCTCACACACACGTCCGGGTACAATCGCGATCGATCCGGCGATCCGAGTTTCTTGTTCCGTGAGATCGCCATCACCCTGTTCAACGGCACTCGCGCCGCGACGCTGCGGGACGTCATCGAATATCAGGCCGCCCGCCCGCTCGACTTCGCCCCCGGCACGGACTACGCCTACTCCAACTATGGGACCATGCTCTTGAGCTACATCGTCAGCAACATCACGGCGACGCCCTACCTCGATTTCTTGAAGGACAACATCCTCGGCGATCTAGACGTACGTCTGTACGAGACAGCAGCAGAGAAGCACGCTGGGGACCGCATCATCCAGGAGAGCAAGTACACGGGCTATGACCCGCGAGAACCAAAGTCGTATCGCCTCGTGCCGGGCCCGTTCGGCGGCGACGGGGCTATCAAGGAGGAGTGCGCGGGTGCGTTCTCGCTTGCGGCGAGTGCGGGTACGGTGGCGAGGTTCATAGGCTCACACGCAGTCAGCGGCACTGGCGGCCGGGCGCCGTTTGCGGAGCGGGACGGGACGGTGGTTGGGGCGCGGACTTTTGCGTCGAGCAGGCCTGATGTTGACTGGGCTTTGACGATTAATACCCGAGAGTATATCTCTGAGGCGGAGTTTGATGACTTGAGGTATTGGAAACTACCTTTTGTGTTTGAGGACTTTGCGGTGGCGTAGACGGAGAGGAAGACAAAAAGAAGTAATGTTGAATTGGAGACTTGTGCACATGAAGCCTAATGTTGATCTCGGATATGTTACTGAAGTTCTAAGCCTAAGTGATACTAACGTCGAGCCCCCTCAACGGACCAGGCTGACTTGCTTCCGATAACGGCATACTCCCTCAGTGCTTCCAAAGCTTCCGCGTGCTCACGCTCAATAGCCTGAGCATGTTTCACAGACCGAGGCGTAATCGAGCAAGGGAACGGCAATGGACTTGAGTTGAAGCCATCCGAGTACGCGAAGCTTTGTGTATATTAAGTCAGCTCTCGGTCCTATACGTGTGCGAGGAGGAGGGGGCCAGAATCACATGTCCACTTCAATATCTCTGCCTTTCTCATCTATTTCGGGGTTGACCTCAAACCCCCAAAGTATCCTCGCGATATTCAGGGCTACGGAAGCAGACCCAAGGTGCATGCCTGGGCAGATTCGGCGACCCCATCCAAAGGCACTGTGGCCAAATGTGCCGGGGTATTCGCGTTCAGTCAAGAACCGCTCAGGTCTGAACTCATGGGGTTCCGGGAAGTCCGCTTCGTTGAGATGAACTAGGAAGTCACAAGTCAGAGTACTTAATAGGATGATGGACATGTCGGGCTTAACGTACTGCTCCATAAAGGTGCGATGACGGTGCTACCCTTTGGGATGAACATGCCCTTGTAGACATGATCGGCGGTGCTCGCATGGGGAGTGCCGCCGAGCACGGCAACAGGTCGCCAGCGTAAAGTCTCCGAAGCTATGGCGCGAACATACTCGAGCCTATTCAGATCATCAAACGTCGGCAGCCGGTCGCTTCCGACAACTCTGTCAAGCTCCTCCTGCGCTCTCGGTATGAACTGCGGGCCAAATTTGGCACAAGCCAGGAGAAAGCTGGCTAGAGACCCGGCAGACTTGAGACATTGGCTTATTAGCTACGCCGACTCTTTGCATGGGTGCGAACTATGGAAGGGGAAGTTATCTCACTGTCTCAACGCCAGCTCCAAAAGGTGAGCCTGCCGTGTACGCTATCTCGAGGTCTGACATGCCGAGGCTGGATTGCTCTTCGAGCAGATGTTTTGCGAAGGACTCGGGCGCAACACCTCTAGTGACTTTGTCGCGGACCTCATCCATAAGCTCGGTGTACATCTGGATGTCTTTCTGCCTCTGTTTCAAGACCTCGGCCTTCCAAGGGGCCAAGAAGCTGGGGATGTACTTGAGAACAGGGTATCTTTCTACTGCAAACTTGCCAGGGATGCTATATGATGGGAGAAGACGTTAGAATTGCGAAGCTCTTGTAGATTTTGGAGGAAGAAAACTCACTTGACCGATGTCAAACGTCCCATCGACTCGGCATTGCGTTGAACAACGATGTCACTGGCTATATTCTCCACCCTCCTACCGTAAGTCACCATCACAATGACAGACGCTGCATATCGTTCAAGATGTCTTCTGAAGTTTCCGGGACTCGCGAGGAGCTCATGCATAAGCACTTTGGACTCCAGACTCTGCACCGGCCGGTACGTCTCGCTCTGTCGCTGCATGAAGCCGCTGTGCAGGAGCTTTCGCCATCGCCGCCAAAAGGGAGAGTAAGAGGCCATCAAGCCCCTCATGCCGCCGGAGAGGAGCTCGCCGCCCATAATAAAGCGTGGACGTGACGAGAAGATCGAGCCCTTCTTTTCGAGGAGGTCCCACGCCGCTTGGGCTGAGCCCAGAACGATGGTTGGCGTCGGACCCATCTGGAGGTAGACGACGTCGCCATACTCCCTACTCAATTCCTGGAACCAGAGCCATGGCTTTCGGATGCCTGTTTTGATGACCTTGGGACCCGGGGGAAGCTGTGATCGATGTGAGTAGAGCTTCCACTCTTGCCGTAGCTATTCGAGGTCGATAAAGTCAGGATAGTTTCCGGTAAAGCGTGTCAAAATAAACATTTCTTACCCGAGGAAATGTGAGGGCTAGATAAGAAACTCCAGCGATCAACGCCAAGTAGGCGAGCATGTCGAAGAGCATGATGAAGTGATTGACGGTTGGTAGACCCGGATAAGAAGTCTGCAACTTCAACGCACGCATACATAGATGTTGAGTCGCCAATCTTTCTTCGGCTATCTAAAAGACTTAGCCGGAGATATCTATGGGTTTGAGGGGGGACAGAGTACTAGATAGCAAGTAAAACCGAGGCTATTCAATCTTTCGATGGTCAGTCGAGCGGCTAGCGCTTCAACTTCGACTCTTCCAACAATTGCCGATCTTGGCGAACACGTTTCAGCAAGCCACAACTGGGTCTCTTCAATCCTTCCCGTTCGATAGTCATGGGAAAATCAAGTCACGATACGAAAACTTCCCCTTCATAACCCCGCAGTCTGGCTTTAGAGCTGCACGTGGGTTACGCGGGGGAAGCAAGCTGCGTGTGGGGGAATCACCCCCGAAACGAAACGGTCCATGCATGCTTCTTGCTGACTCCAAACTTACAAACGCCTTGGTTGGATGGTGGATAATCATACCCTGGTCTTTGGTAGCATCACCGCGGCAGTTGTTCGAGTGAGATGAAGAGCATGGAAAACGAAGAGGTACAAAATCTAGGAGGTTCCTGTAGGCCCGAACCGAAAAGATTGATGTTCCCTGCTTGTACAATACTTGAGGATACTTCAGGACTCGAAACTCTCACCAAAGTATAGACGTGAGCTTTACTTACATCTCTACTATGAAACCTGAACGTTCCGGTTGGCTGAGCAAGCCATTCTTGACGTCGATCCTTCTTGGCATAGGAGGGTTTCTCTATGGATAGTGAGTCTTTCTGCACAACGATAGCATCCTATCAACTACATTCTCACACAATGACATAGTGATTCTGGAATCATCACACCTAGCTTGGCGCTCAAGTCTTTTCTCGCATATTTCGGAAATCCTGATGCTGCCCTTCGAGGTGCTATTGTGTCGGTATATCAAGCCGGAGGTACGATTTACTCTGATAACGGCAACAGCTATTTGTCTAATGACTCTACCAGCATGGTTCGGAAGCGCATCTGTTGGTGTAACTAGCGATAAATTTGGCCGCCGTAAAGCCATTGCCTTTGGCTGCATATGGGGAGTTATAGGTGGTGCTCTGATGGCGGGTGCTGCCCATGTCGCTATGCGTAAGTGAAGTTTCAATCTGACAGATACGAGATGCAATACTAAAGATTGGAATCAGTCATCATGGGCCGACTGCTAGTCGGTTTTGCAGTCGGTACAATTACTGGCGTAGCTCCAGTCTTTGGTGCAGAAATTGCCAAGGTAAATTGCATCACTCTACAAACGAATTATGATAGGTACAAGGAGCTGATGTCTTCCAGACTCATGAAAGAGCCAGAATTACAGCCGTTAACCAGATGAGTGAGTTGAAGCTTTGAAGATAGGCCTTTGGTCACACTTGCTAATCAGATAAAGTGGTCGCCTGGGGCTTCTTCGTCGCTCTCTGGACCGGCGTTGGCGAAGGCAAATGGCAGAATCCTAACCAGTGGAGGCTCGGCTTCGCCATCCAGAGCGTTCCCGCCTTGGTCCTGGGCATTAGCGTTCTCTTCCTTGGCGAGTCGCCTAGATGGCTCTGCCTAAAGGGTCGGCATGAGGAAGCTGAGAAAGCTTTCCGCAACTACCACTATGACGGGACCAACGACGACTGGTGCCGCAATGAGTTCGCCATCATCCAGGTCAACATCGCAGAAGAGCTACAGGCTCAGGGTCGACTATCCTGGGGCGACCTATTCAAGACGCCGGCGTTCCGCAAGCGCCTCTTTGTCGGCTCTTTCGTGTGGGCTGCTGCGATGCTTTCTGGCATTTCGTTTGTGCAGTATTATCAAACGGCCATCTATGCCACGCTGCAGTTCAGCCAGGATCAACAGCTTCTCGTCAGCGGTCTCTATGGTTCTGTGGCACCCGTGGCATGCTTAATCTCGCTGTTCTTCGTCGATCGCATCGGTCGAAAGAAGATTCTTATCATTAGCTCGTCTCTATTGTCCCTTTGTTACTTGGTCATCACCATTTTAGCAGCAGTTTACCCTGCAAGACCCGGATTCCCAACCAATGAGGCGGCCCAGCGCGGTCTCATTGCATGTATTTTTGCTGTTTCGGCCAACTACTCTGCGCTCCTTGGACCCATGACATGGATTATTCCGTAAGTAGTATTACCCTGGGTAGCGGTATCCGAATTGTCATATTGACTGGAACGCAGACCTGAAGTCTTCACTACGGAGCTCCGAGCCAAAGCGAACGCCATAGTCCAGGTCATCCACTATTCCATAAGTCTTATCATTACGCAGTGTTCACCAATCGCCCTGGCCGCGGTGGGTTGGAAGTACTACGTATGTTGATTCTTTGCAAATCACATTCAAATGAGTCTGTCTGCTGATCCAACAACTCAGATACTCTTCATCCTCACCAACGCTCTCTGCGCTGTCGTCTTTGCATTCTTCTATCCCGAGACCAGAGGTATGATGATAAACATCGTGATCCATCGTACAGGAGCGGGAACTGACACTTCACTCATAGGAAAATCCTTGGAAGAAATTGATGAGATCTTTGGCGATGTCAAGATCGTGCGTGATGTTGACTTCGCCGAGAAAGCTGGAGTTCAAGAAGTAGAAATCCGCCAGCGACACTGAAAAAGTTGTGGGGTTTCAGCCCGACAGTAGAAATCAGAGATATACGTCTACTCTACTGACATTAGGTACATCATATACATTGATAAAAGAGACACCCAACCTCAATTTACAGGCAACGGATCTCAGCTCCAGATCCCGCCAAAAAAAACCATGTGATGTTTTATGGAGGCTAAGAAGTGTAAAATACTATTATCAAGAAGATTTGGAGAAGCAATCGTAGTTCCTGTAAGAGATTTTGGTACCATGACACTTCCGTTGATGCTGCCACCATGCAGATGTTTTACCTTTCGAGTGAGAGCTTGAGATTGAATTTCAAATTTTAATACGTTCCAAAATTGCTCATCACTACACGGTTGCTCAAACACCTTTTGAGGGCAGGGCACTACTTACTTTTGCTACCCTTGGTGATGGAAAAAGCACCATAATGTTCGGGATTTCCAGTTGATTATTAGATATCAATTCGCCGAAATACCCCTGACAAGCGTGGACTAAGATTTCTTGCGGGCTCAAACCTCAAATACAAGCTTTTTGTTCAATCCAAGCAGCCAATTTCGCACATATCATATGTGTCGTGATGAATCAATCATCCTCTTCATTGCTTCCGAACTCCAGCCGGTCCAGATGCTTTCCGAGTCAGCTCAAACGCAAATCTTCGTTCTTCACTTCCCTCACGACAACGGATGGTGGTGCTTGAACCGGGCTCACTGCCGCTTCCATGTCAATGGCTTGCTCTCTCGCCTCCATCTGCACTACCGGAAGCTGACCAGCCGTGCCATGTCGCAGCGTCCTCCCCCTTCGGTGTCTCCCTACATCTAAACAGGCCAGTACGTATGTCCATATCAGGATGGACCCCGCGCTCATGAACAGCCAGGCGAGAGCGACGGACTTGGTATCCTGCGACCAGTCTTCGTGCAACGCGTGCCGCACAGTGAAGAGGCTGAGAGCCTGCAAGCCGATCCAGGTGAGCCAGTAGAAGTAGACCAGACCACCAATGCGACCAGGCGGGGGAAGAATGCATTTGTGGATGCTAAAGACCGCTGCGTAACAAGTTTGCGTGAGAATCAGGACGATCAAAAGCTCCGCCATCCAGGCGATCGGTTGTTTTGACTCCGAGGATGCTCTCATCAAGGTCATGGTGACCAGAATTGTGGTGAAGAGGCATGCGCCGAGGAGAACTATAACTGAATATCTGGCTTCGTCCAAGAGGCTTGTTCGTGGCGACCATGGTTGTCCTCTTCGTCGGCGGAGCCACATCTTTGCCCGGGCGAGCGGAACTATGTAGAGAGGCATTGCTGGCTTCTTTGAGGAAAGGGATGGATATGATGAGAACCCGATGCTTTCTTCTCGGGTCTAAGATCTTGATAGGGCGATGTTGTTGAGAGAACACTGAATATCTTGAGGCTGCAAAAACCAAAGAACAGGCCGCTCATCAGCGGCCGCTCTGGTCTCGCAAATGGTGGATCATCGACTTATTTAAGAACCTGCTCTGCTTGGCTCGTGGAATGTCATGATGTGTTTTCAATCGAAGAGGCGTCAGGAGAGTTCGTGTACACGCACAAAAGCATTTTGGGGCGTTCAAGTCACTGTGGGCGAATTTCACCTTGATAGACATTATTGACTTCTATTGGTACTCAAAATTGTGTCTAGTGATTCAGATTCAAGACTGCACCTTAGGGTCATCTCAAAGAATGCTGAAGGATGAGATTTGGGGGTAAAAGACGAGGAGAATGTGGAATTAGATATTGAGCGAATGGCGACATTAGATATTTGTTCTGATCCCCTTTTCTTGTTCAGGCCGTTCCGGACACGTTGAAGGTTTCTTGTAGGCAATGGCGTTTGAAGTGGTGTTCAAGGTCACGAGATAAGCTGGTTTTGCCGGGCCTCCGAACGGGCCGAGGGGGTCGAACCACGCTGGTTGATAACTTTGGCGTGACTGAGAGTCTTCGGCTGCGATTGCCTGGTGACTTTGCCTTGGGTTGTAGTCGGCTCGGATTGTCTCCGACGTGGAGCACTGGTAGTCGAATGTAGACGAAGTGGTTGTCCCGGCAATCAGATCAGACGGCCGTGAGGGCCTCTTGTTGAGGAGAATATCGCTCACTTACGAGACACCCCGCGCGGGCAATTGAACTCTCCCCGGAATTGTATGGGTCGACTGGACGCTCCCCTCCAAATCTCCAACGTGTTTCTCCCCCGACCGTGCAGAGTCGGTACCCGCAGCTGTGCGAAGACCACCATGTGTCTGGTGTGATGTGGAACTGTGGTGAGAGCCTCGAACGGTGAACCAAGCAGCGGACCGGTGGTTGGAGGGTCAAACTTCAGAGTCTCCGTAGCCCACCCGCAGCGACCCGAACCCCATGCTCCATACTCCGTGTCTTTCCCCTCACCGACATGCCTCCGCGCCCGGCTGCCCAGCTCCGCACCAACAGGAGTTCCCAGACTCGATGGAGTGTACACGAAGAGTACCTGGACACGACGCGTCCACGAGGGCGCGGGGCAGGTTGGGGACCCCCTCTTCCTCGCTGCTATCTGCGGTAAAATGCCCCTCTCGTGGGAAGCTGGAACTTGAAGACAGCATCGACGATGCGAGGCCTTGACTAATGGCGCGCGCTGCAGGGCCGGGGTGGGTTGGATGTGGGCTTCTGTGGATCTCACAGCTGGACTCTTGGCCGCAACCATGTAGTTTGAGACCGATTGGGCGGCGTGGTTTTTCCATTGAGGCCTAGAACTTGGTTGCCAGGTTTTTTTTCCCTTTTTGTGATAAGCTAAGAACAAACTCACCGAGCCGCCGTACTTAGTTACGTAGTTCTCTACGATTCTTCGGACTGAAGATATCAAATACTGCAGTTCGACAAATTCTACCCGATTCTCGGTCAGTGCGATCGGATTAGTAGTCGGTAGGAAAAGGTTGCGCCAAGCGAGGACCAAGATCAGATTGATGAGCTGTCCAAGCTGCATGGCGCATATTGCTGCAGTCCTCGCATGTGGGATTACTCAGATACAGATTCGTACATAACAAGTACAAAGTCTTGTTCTAGATATTGAGACTATTCTCTGTTAGGTATGCGTAGGAGTACGGCAATACTATCTCAATGTCTACCTGCGGCCCATCCGGGTCCCATTAATCTAGATCCACCAGACTGGCGGGCACTTGAAGGGAGAGAGCATGGGTTCACCCATGTATCTAGACATTCCTGACAACCTCATTGCTGAGCATTGGTCCGTGTTTAGCCCCGGCGTCTAGTCCGTGTGCCTGTATCAATGACATCAGCGGGGTTCCCAGGATGCCGTCACGGCCGGCCAATTCCCAAAGCTACCCCTCCATCATGCCACCTTATTGACCCCTCGGTCTTTTTTGGGCTCGAAGTACGCCGTGCTCTCAGCTATTCAAAGCTGGCTTTCTCCCGCTGATCGTTTCGAGCTTTTTCCTCTCCTCCTTTTTCATTCCAAAAAGTTTGATACCCAAAAAAAACCTTCTCTTCAATCTTTGCAGACGCCTCTTTTACCTTTACAACCAAGCCACATTCACCACCACCAATCCTTCAAAATGCCTCAGTCCATTCCCACCGCGTCCCGTCTTTTGGACCTCTTCAGCCTCAAGGGCAAGGTCGTCGTTGTCACGGGTGCCTCCGGCCCCCGCGGCATGGGCATTGAGGCTGCCCGCGGCTGCGCCGAGATGGGTGCTGACCTTGCCATCACCTACTCCTCCCGCAAGGAGGGTGCTGAGAAGAACGCCGCCGAGCTCGAGAAGGAGTACGGCGTCAAGGTCAAGATTTACAAGCTCAACGTCAGCGACTACGACGAGGTTGAGAAGACCACCAAGCAGATCATCGCCGACTTTGGCAAGATCGATGCTTTCATCGCCAAGTAAGTTTCCGAACCTCTCCTCTCTCTAGCCCCGCGGAGCTCTTCAGTGTGAGGGAAGTCACTGACAACTTTTCTCTCCGCAGTGCTGGTGCCACCGCCGACGCCGGCGTCATTGACGGCACCAAGGAGGCTTGGGACCACGTCATCCAGATCGACCTGAACGGCACCGCGTACTGCGCCAAGGCTGTCGGCGCCCACTTCCGCGAGCGCGGCTCCGGTTCCTTCGTCATCACCGCCTCCATGTCCGGCCACATCGCCAACTACCCCCAGGAGCAGACTTCGTACAACGTCGCAAAGGCCGGCTGCATTCACATGGCCCGCTCTCTCGCCAACGAGTGGCGCGACTTTGCCCGTGTCAACTCCATCTCTCCCGGTTACATTGACACCGGTCTGTCCGACTTCGTCGAGCAGAAGGTCCAGGACTTGTGGAAGAGCATGATCCCCATGGGTCGCAACGGTGATGCCAAGGAGCTCAAGGGTGCCTACGTCTACCTTGTCTCCGATGCTAGCACCTACACCACTGGTGCCGACATCGTCATTGACGGTGGTTACTGCTGCCGGTAAATGCCTCGTTTTGTGTGTAAACCGGGCGGAACAACAGCACATGGACAAGGAAGACTGGAAGGGTTCTTGTCCTGGATATGATGTTATGACTACTTTAAAAATAATAGACCAAAAAGTTGAAAAAAAAGAAAGAAAAAAAAACACTGTAATCTCAACTGAGTGATGTCCTGAATCAATCTTGCCCAATAATTCAATACCGTGATACCTCACTCAGGTAGCACAATAGCTAAGCAAAACAGCTTTTTTTCTCTCCTCGCATACGAGACCTGATACAAGCAACTCGAACAGATCGCAAAAATCCATCATATTCATTCCCAACAACTGACTCAATTCTGCAGGATGTTTTTCACAAAATTTGTGGTCTCACCGCATGTCTCCGCGATTATGAGTGATGATGTATACGTGATGACATGACCTCGTTCCTGGATCCGTTTTCTTAGCCTAATAAGCTAGCTATTGTGGACTACCCGTCAACGCTCCACCTGTCGCGTTTTCCTACCATGAGCCATCCTACATTGTGATCTTGAGCTTGGTCCACTGCAACTCCATCACAAACCTCCCTTAATCAAGCATGATCCGTAACTTAACTCGGTATGTGAGCCTCACTCCAAAGTTGCAGGTCAATCCGTCAAGAAAACACAATCTCACGTGAAGTCACGGCTATCTGTTCTGCACTCGGATTGACATCCATGTACTGGGATAGATGGAGTTCAGTGATACAACAAATAATTGTGAAATTATGATGTGTTGGTGATGGTCGTGATGTCGAGACTGCCTATCAACCAGATTTCAAATTGGCCCGCCCCGTCTAAGTCGTTCTACCATCGTGATAGCATCACAAGTCCCAGATTCTCGAAATTCCCATAAAGTCATTCTCAGAGGTTCTTGGCGATAAAGTGCGGGAGTAACCCCTTCGTCCAAACTGGTAAATGTCTCTTCAAGGCGATCTAGCATGTCTTCGAGCCCAACCAGGCCACCAAACTTGTCATGAGGAGGACTTGGAGTCCAATGTTATCAGCTTCGTGAAGGTAGTAGATGGCTTTGAGGTCCCAAGGAAGCTAACTCCATTCACCAACTACGGAGAAAGAATGTCTTCGTATGCAAAATGAAGGGTGATATAGGCGACACAACTAAGGCCGGTCGCGGTCTTAAGCGGAGTGAACACTGACGCCAGGGCGACCATCGTCGCAACAATGAAGAGTATCTCAGACCAGTGAGTAATGAAGCAATTCCGTGAAAATCTACCCCAGAAATCGAACACACAGTAGAGACAGATTATCGTTATAGTAGTGACAAGTGCAGGTAGTGAGAATGTCTCGTGGTCATTATCCTGGCTTCCCTCGTCGATGACTACTAGGGTCCATGATTATTCTCGACTGTAAGAGACTTCTCCGAGGGATGTTTCGGAGACAGTCGGAGCCGGCACTTGTGATGAATCTGGGGAGTCCTGAAAATGCTCAACAGATGCGCCGGTGTGGAGTATCTGCGTTTTTATATTCAACTCGAGTTGAAAATTATCTTTCGAGTTTGATGATTTTTGATGACTGCTCGAAGGCGCTTCAGAGGTGAACCCCTCAGCATCATTGTTGAGCTCCAGCACATGCAGCTACCGATTATGGTCGTTCTTTGTAAAAACTCAGAGGTTTTCGAGGCTTGTAATGACTTCTGGGGTTAACATCGAGTATCAGGGGCGGCTTAGGAGGAAATATTGCTCGTGCTTTGACTAGGTAGAGAGAGGGAATAATGGCTTCAGTAGGTAATCATGCAATTCGGTCGCAAATTGGCCTCTCAGTGTATGGCTGCATATATACGTTCTCTAATATCACAAGGTGCTCTATCAATCACAGTGTCGCCGATTACCTCAAGCCGCAAATTGTGCACCCTGTGGATTGCTGTGAGCAGGTTGTTCCTGCCATACCCGAACCACTTTTTTAGAATTTTATGATGGTGAAGCTCTACGAGGACCTTTTCCTTCCAGATAGATACATGATTCTTTATCTCGACCTAGAGGCCGGTGCATTCAAGCTTTGACCTTAGGAAGGCTGTTCTTCAGATCGGGACCTATCGATGATTCAGGCTTCTGGTCTTCCGTCCCCGTGAAACGGTAAAACCGAAATAAGTGTTGATGCGGAGGTATGCCGCATTTCGAACTTTGGATGAAGGGATGTCGCTGGGGCGGTATTTGAGCTGTTTTCGGCTGCTAGGCGCATCCATGTCAAGAGTACGATATCAATATTCTTGTTCGAATTTCTTTCTACCTCAGATAAGGTAAATCCAGCATATTAGGGCAGATTATAAACAACTCCCTGTGATTTTCTCTGAGAAAACCCCTTGAAGTATCGCAAGTCTTCGCACCACTTCGGTTTGAACGCTCAGGAGGATCCACCGGACACGGGAACTAGATCAATCTCAACAGAGACGCCCCCGCCAAGTTCGCCGCCGATAGACCGCTTTGTCGTACCTGCGGCGGTATACAGAGCGAAGCGGATAGCTTGCCTAGACCCCTGCTCACCAGAAATGGCTTCAATGTTGAGATATCTGGGATCATCAAACTGACGAACGGGAACGTCAAACGTCCACCGCCCAACACCATCTCCGCCTTCCTCCGCCGCTCGGTCGTTGATGCCAGCGTACGCCTTCTTGAAATCCTCGCTGCTCACGTCAAGCGACACTGAACGAACCCCGAGCGATCCATTCGGATGCTTGACATTCTCCGGAACGTGATCCGGCACACGCAGCTTCCGCGGTGTGCGGTCAAAGCACCAAAACGGCAACTCACCCCTCTCCACTTTTCCGGCTCCGGCTCCGGCCGCGCCATCCGGGAGCGCAACGGCCCACTTCAGTTCCTCGCCATCCGGTCTGATGCGCCCGCCGGGCACGGGATCCTCGTACACGGCAAGCGACTGCGCGGCGTGCACCCGCTTCTGGATCTCGGCGAAGCCGGACTCGTCTTTGAGGGAGTAGGCCCAGTCGATGATGGTGCCGTCCGGTTTCGGACCCCACTTGTGCTTGAGACGGTCTTCCCGGCTGATGCCCGCGACGAAGGAGATGATTTCCAGGTAAGTTCCATCTGCGAAGATGACGAGCTTGTTCTCTGTGAGGCCGTCGGCGTGACGGCCGCCTGTGAGGATGGTGAACTCGGTTGAGAGCCAGGTGGGGAGGGAGGCGAGGACTTGGTGGGGGACCAGAATCACGATGTGATCGAGGAGAGGCGGGTTTGAGCTCTGAGAAGACATATTGACGAGATCTTGAGTAAAGATTGAACGAGCGATATAGGCGCGTTGTCAGTGATGTAGATGATTTCAAGACGTGTTGTCTCTGCGATATATATAGGGGTATCATCCGGTATTTATCGTTCTATTCCCCGCGCGGCCCCACAATGTCACCATTGCTGATAGTCATTGCGAAGAGACGCGGATGTATGAGGTCCGCTATCGGTCGACAACTCTCATGAGTCTTTTGCCAATTCTCTCGCAAATACCTCAAATACCTCAAATACCTCAGAATTCTATCTTGACATTTTCCGATGTATGGCGGAACTTCGACGAGAGCCCCGGCACGTGGCCGGCATTCGTTCCCGTGCCCACTTCACAAAATCTGGCGGAGGTGCCTTATGTAATCAAGCCGGTCTTGTTCAACAAGAATGGCGCTAATCCAGAGGGAAGACTTCTCCTCTCTGTCATCCGTGGCTCAAGCATACGGAGCATCATTCTCTTCGAGACTACCAATCTGCAGAGTCAACTATCAACTTCAGAGGGCTGCTTCCTTGTTGCCTCTTAGGCGGTGCATCGGCACTCGAGTCCTCGTCAAGGGTGCTTGCTTGGGAAGCCCAGTCAAACTTCTCAGGGACTTCTGGAACTCACGGCAGGCCTAACAGAGGCATTCTGTTCCTGATCCCAGCTGAAGGACATTCGACAGAGGAGCCAAATTCTCGTCACTACTCCCAAAGAGCTCTGCCCATTCAAGAATTATTTGGTTTCATTGCTGGCCAATCTAGAAAATAAACATCCTCCGCGACAATGGAACGTCTCTTTGACCCTCTGTTAGTGCTTGCGCGCTAAAGTTTGTAGGATCAGTCGAAGGATCCCAGGGCCGTCCCTGGATGTCCACCAAAAGATGTTACCCAAAAAAGATGGCGCTTTAGCTGGGCCTTGAATGTTTAGCCCTCTGCCAGACGCGAAGCTGACAAGCAGACGTATCCATGACAGAATCACAGACCGTTGTCGGTGCCGTTCGAGGGGTGCAACAACTGCTGGTGTACGACGTTGTCTCGGACGCAGGAGTAACCAGACAATCAACACCCCGAGTCAAGACACCTGAACCATCGGCCCGAGTGGGTCTTTGTTGCGTCTCTGCAAAGAGCTCTGCGTGATCAACAGAATTGCCCTCTTACACGTACGGCCAGTGTTTGCTTTGGGCACAGATCTTCTTGCGCCAGTTGCCAATTGCCAATGGTCAGCGCCGAAGTAATTTGTGCTTACTTTTCAGCTGTAGTCTGGCTACTGAATCTACCCAGTCTGGTCTCTCGTTGACGCCAAAATTGTGCGAGATTCAGAATCAGTAGCTACCACAGGCTGGAGATGGTTTAGCTTCTCTTACTTGGACCAACTCTAGGTTGACAACTTACAAAAGCAGAAGGGCGCCTAGCTGCCAGTTCTGTTACCAGAGCACTCCCTACGCTCGAAGCATACTCAACGGCAGCAACGGCGCAACGGTAGCGGCCCGTCCTACGCCTCACTCACTGGGAGCCAGAAGATCTGGACCTTGGCCGAGCACTGTAATGCTCGCGCAAGACCTGCATTTAGTCTCACGATCTCATACTGCGAAGCTTGTGGCGTGTCTCGAGGCTCGCGCCGTTCGTGACTACAGGCTCGACACTGATGGCAATCCTCCTCAGCCAAGCCCGCATTCAATCGAAAACCGACGCAATGGAACGCCGACCCTCGCCTCCCGGTCAACCCGAGAACTCCTTCCCATTCGCTCCCGAGGCCGTGCGTCCGCATCCCACCCTCACCTCCCTCTTCTCTCATTGAGGCTTACGACCCAACTTGGACTTTGGTGGACGGTAGAAGAGTAGTACCGGCCTCACCCCCGGCCCTCTCCCCAAATCGCTTGATTTCCACTCATAATGGGCTGCATTCTGAGAGTACCCACCCTGGTGATCGCGTGTCTGGGGTCCTGGTGGTAACGGAACGCGGATCACCCTAGGGAGCCTCTTGGTGTCCGCACATGAAACTCCCACCGTCTGATGCAGGCCCTCGTCCGACCAGGCTTCGTGGCGCTCGCCGCATGAATCTCGTCGCACAGAAACGACCATCGGATGGCAGGCTGGGGGCATTTTCTCACAGCTGACTTGCTGTTCGCAGGTTCACTGCCCCTCCAGGGCCTCCAGTGCCTCTCCAGCTGGGCCGTTTGTGGACGATGGGGAAGGGGGGAGGGGAAGACAGTCTCGATCCCGCCCTCCCGTTCGCTGGTGTCATGTCATATAGCCCATGGGTTGACTGCTATTCTTGGACGCTCCCTTTTTCCAAAGTAGCAATGTCGATGGCCTGCCGGTAGTAGATATGTCATGCGGCTCCCCGCTGCCTTATGTACAAACGGTTCTTGATCCTTTCTTCCCAGGCCTTCCTGCAACCAAAGCCCCCCCTTTCGTGTTTGCTTCGTGCTGCCCTTCGCTTCTTGGACCGCAATTTTTCTTCGATTCTTTGGATTGAGTCCCTTCTTTTTTGACATCATCAGATTATTTTCACTTTCACTTCTTATCCATTCGCTTAGATATCGAATATGTTGACAAAGACACTTACACTTTTGGGGTTGACGGCGGCAGCATGCGCTAGGGTGCAGTTCTTGGCAAGTCTTATATGATCTACGACAGGACTTCGGACCAAATATGTCTAACCTTTTTTTGCCCAACAGGGAGTCGCGATTTCAGGTGGCGACTTTGGCTGTGAGATTGATGTAGGCCCTTCCCTCGATCTTTCATCTCATCTTACAATTCGAGACTAACTCGATGCCAGGGAAGCTGTCCACTGGGTAAAGTCCAACTGCCTCTCAGCTCACTGGGAGGCGGCGACGGCGAAGGCCAGATGAATCACTTTGTCCAAAACGACAAGCTCAACATGTTTCGGCTTCGTCAGTCTACTCGAAATCTCTCAACCTTCTGAGTCTTCATACTGACACTCAAGCAACAGCTGTCGGATGGCAGTTCCTCGTCAACAACCAAATAGGCGGCCAACTGAACGCCGCCAATCTTGGCAAATACGACCAGGTAATGCAAAAGTGCCTCGCGACCGGCGCGCACTGCATGCTCGACATACACAACTTCGCCCGCTGGAACGGCGGCATCATCGGCCAAGGTGGGCCGACAGACGACCAATTCGTCTCGCTGTGGACGCAACTCGCAACAAAGTACAAGGACAACGCCAACGTCGTCTTCGAGCTCATGAACGAGCCGCACGACCTCGACGTTAAGCTCTGGGCGGCGACGTGCCAGAAGGTAGTGACCGCCATCAGGGGCGCCGGCGCGGCGTCGCAGATGATTCTGCTGCCGGGGACCAACTTCAACTCGGCCGAGTTCCTGGTCAGCAGCGGGAGCGCGGAGGCCTTGGCTGCGATTACGAACCCCGATGGGACGACGGATAATTTGATTATCGATGTGCACAAGTATCTTGATGAGGATAACAGCGGCACGCATAAACCCTGCACGACGGACAATGTCGAGAGTTTCAGGACTGTGGCTGAGTTCTTGAGGGCCAAGGGACGAAAGGGGCTGGTTAGCGAAACGGGCGCCTCGAGCGATGCTTCGGTATGTCGATCGATTTCCTTGTTCTTTTGTGTGTGATGGGACTAACAGACGGATACAGTGCTTCACAAGCTTCTGCGCCCAAAACACCTTCATCAACCAAAACTCCGACGTCTTCATCGGCCTTGTGGGCTGGGCGGCCGGCAGCTTCAGCACCGACTACGTCCTCAGCCTGACGCCCAAGAAGTCGGGCAACACCTACACCGACAACAATCTCATGAAGCAATGCGTCCTCGACACCTGGACCAACACGGAGCAGAACGTCTCGACGCCCGCTACACCACCAGCGGCTTCATCATCATCGGCGGGAGCAGCAGCATCACAGCCCGCCGCGTCTTTGGTGCCGACGAAACTTCCCGCTACTATCCCGTCCGCGTCGGCGGCTATCCCTACAGCACCGAGCTCAGCTCCGACTTCGGCACCAGGGCCCAGCAGCAGCGGCGGCGATGAAGAGGGCATCGCGCCCCCGACGACGATTGTGAGCATGCCGACCACGCTGCTGGTTGACCCGTCTACGCCGACACCGCCGGCGGCAACGGGAGCCAGGGGTGGTAGGAATGGGACGACTACGACGACGAGCTCGCCTTCTCTTCCGACGGCGGCGGGGTCGAGGTTAGGAGGGCTTGATAGTCTGTTAGGACTCGGTTTGGCAGTCGCCTTCTTCCTGTAAAATCAAGCCATTGATATCACGGAGATCACCAGATAGAATAAAAGTAGAACAATCACCTGACTGCCATCAAAGACTTTGAAAAAAAAAAAAAAAAAGTGACTCGTCGGAGATTCGAACCACTGGAAATGGCAGAATATCCCGTTGGGACTCAGTCGGCAGTCGCCTTCTTCCTGCAGAGTCTGAGCCGCTGGTACCACAGTCACAAGTAGAATAACAAAACGATATTCAATTCTTACATTGTGAGATACCAATAAGCAAAAGGAAAAGTGCCAAAAACAAAGACTCGAACTGGCAAAATGGCAGAATATGGTGCTTCCGCGAGACGCTGGGCGCGGAAGGCTTAGATAGATTTCAGTTTGCGATCTGTAGACGAGAGTCACACGCTAGACCAATCGGCCAACGTGGAGGGTCTCGCCTATCCCGACAGACGGACCAACTTTGCTCAGCTATAGGGGATGTGGAGTGTGCGTATCCCTCGAGCAACCGTGATGGCTTCCTCGGGCCATCAGGCATACACTTTGGAACCTGAGGTACCTTGCGATCCTACCTTACACATAGTGGTATCTGAAATTCTTTCTTCCTCGCCCGCTTTGCTTCCATCCTTCCTACTTTGTTTGTCTCTCCTCCCAGCTATCATGCCGCATACCACCACCTAAATGTGAATATCGTCCGCCTTTCACGATGGAGCTCCGGTCACAATGAAACAAATCTTCTCCTTCATCGCTGAATATGGTATTTTTTATAGGGAGGATTAACATATTATCCCCCCCAAAGCTTCAATACTATACAACCGACAGCTCTGAGGGCTCCAATGTGTTAATAGGAGTCTTGCTTGTCATCTCATGCATGACTCTCGTCATCTTGTCCGCCGCCGGGATAATTGACAGATGTCCTTGGTCGTAGAAGCAAGCCATGATAAAGGCCGCGGTGTTTGCTTAATTTCGGCAACTAATGCTCCTACTTCGCGCCCGTAACTATGTCGAAGGTGAAGGTGGTATCACGGGGGACGCGAGAGCCACGTGATCGAATTCAACTATTTTCCTCGACAAAATCGGAAGTCACTGCACAGTAAGTGGGTATCCGCCTTCCTTCCCAACATCTTGCTCAACGGGGACGCACCTGCCTCCATCCCGACAAGACCTTCCTTCCTAGGTTTCCACCACCTGAATACACAACTCGAATACACCAGAGTCGACGCCTTCATATACCCCTCCAAGTCAATTCCTGTCACCAGCACAGCAGGCGCTCTCTAGGTCGGGGGTCAGATCAAATTGTGGTGTGGGTGGTGGAGTGGTCCAAGGTCAACAATCAAGACGCCAACCAGCCTACTCGACGACAGGCTTAGCGGAGTACCCGAGTTCGAATCCCAGCATGAGCACCAGAGATGTAGCCCCCAGTCCAGCACCGGAGGAGGTGAACTCTTTTGCCAGTTTAGATCCACCGAGATCTTAAGTACTTGGCCATTAGAGGAAATTTGAGGAGAGGGAGGTACGAAGTTGTAAAAGGACATGTTTGCCCAAGTCTATTATTATGAGTGGTGTTATTTATTTTCTATTCATCCCCATCCTGCCTAAAGGCATCATACTCCACATAGCGGCTGATAGCAGGCAAGAAAGCCTGCGCCTGGCGGAACTCGCCCAGCTTCACCCTCATCTGATCCCACGCCATCAACACCGCCTGGTCAGCTCCATCATCCGTCTTGCGATCCTCGACGAGCGGCAGCTTGGCATACCGCTGCGAAAAGTGCGTAAGCAGCACGCGGCGCGCGCCCATGTTGCTCGCCACCTTCAAAGCCTCGCCCAGCGTGCTGTGCTTCTTGGCCACCGCGTCGCCCATCTTGTCATTGTCAAAGGTGCTCTCGTGGATCAGCAGCGTCGCGCCCTTGCCGGCTTCGACGAGCCTCTCGCTGGGGCGGCAGTCGCCCGAGTAGGCGATCTTGAGACCCGACGGCCAGGTCAGCACGCCGGCGTAGGCGTCCTTGCAGTGGTTTACGGGGACCAGCTGGGCGGAGGCGAGGCGCGTCGGGCAGTCGGCGGGGAGGCGCCCCTCGTCGTGGGGGAAGAAGTGGCCCTTTCTGATGAGCTTGACGCGTCCGAAGGCGATGGGCTCGATGCGGCTGTACTCCATTAGGAAGTACTGCATGGCGGCGGGGCCAATGAGACCGAGTTGAGGTTGGGGTGAGAGGTGGATGGTGGCTTCGTTCCAGGCGCGGAGGAAGCGTGCGGTTCCGAGGTGGTGGTCGGCATGCATGTGGCTGATGAGGATGCAGCGGGTCTCTTGGAGGATCTTGGTCGTTTCTTCGGCTCCGAATGTTCGTTGGAGCTGGCCGAGGGTGTTCTCACCGCAGTCGAAGAGGTAGTTGCCGTACTGGGGTACCCGAACCAGGGTTGCCGAGACGTTGCGGTACTTTGATGGCACAGCAGATCCGGTGCCGAGAGGGATGATCTCCGTGTCGCGATTCGGGATGTCCTTCTCTGCTTCCTCAATATCTTTGAGGAAGGCAGGCTCCTTGATCTTGTCTGCGGCTTCCTTGGCGAGTTTGATGACTCCCTCTTCCATTCCGTTGCCCTTAAACTTGGTATAGATTGGGGGAACAATCTCATCCTTGACGAGCTCGTAGGCAGGTGACAGCTTCGCCTTCATGCCCACACGAGCAGTCTCCACGTTGGGGCCAATGTGCGAAAGGTCCCGGACCGTGTTGTTGAAGGCAAGTTGCGGGAAGCGGTCAGGGTCGATCTGCCTCAGGTAGCCGTGGAGGATGGCATAGGAATCCAATGCCAGCATGTTGGGACTGGTATCGGTAGACATGATAAGGTGCTTGACCTCCGGTCGTTCCTTCATGAAGTTTTGGATTCTCGGGTCGTCGATGACGGTTGGCCCAAGGATCCAGTTGAAGACGTGCACGCCATCCATCAAGTTGGCATTTTGCCACTCTGGTCTGCCGAGGAACGAGTCAATGTAGGACGCGTCTGCGATATCGATGACTGTGAAACCCTGAGGCTTAATCGGTGCCTCGAGGACCATCTCGGGCGTGACGGTAATACCATCCTTGCCCTGGACAGACACTCCGTCGGTGAGTTTCTTGTTGTCAGTGGGCTTTACGCCCAGCTCCTTCGCGGCAGCCGCGTTGAACTTGCCTCTTCGGCCCTTGTTCTTGACGATATAGGTGACGGCAGTGTTCGAGATGGAGGCGCTGGGCAACTTCTCAACCGTGGCCGCTGGCCAAGGGTACCGCACCAGGACGTCGAGGTCAGGCACAGGTTCTTCGCCGCCCGGCATGGGGCCTTGGTACTTCTTGATGTTGCCTTCTTCTCTGACAAAGATGGTGGCGGGAAGCTGGACCTGCGAAAGTTTCGTCTCGTACAGCTTGTCCATGGTCCAGCTGGAGTTGAACATGCTCTCTACAACGCCCTTGATCGCTTCCCGGTCAATGACGGCCTGCTCCTTGGCGGAAACAGCGCCGGCTGGGTTAGACAGGCCTTCATCTTCCGCCGTCATGACCTCGTGGCTCCTCTTACGGGACTGGTTGACATGATCGGAGGCGATGGGAACCTTCCAGACCTGAATGAGCTCGTCCTGCCAGTCAGGAGTGGTGGCGTCGGGGTTGGCGATTCTCGGATCCTCGTACAGTTCGACGGCGCGAATCGGAAGTCCCTTTCTGAACACAAACCCTCTCGCTGTTGCGACAGAGTATGCGAGGTTCTGGGCACCGTGGATCTCAATCCGCTCGGGACCCTTGGCCGCGATCAATTTCTTTCCCGTACCCTTTCTCGCCTGGTTCCTCTCGTGCACCTCTCTCCTGCTGCCGTCGAGAACGTCCGCGACTGTAAGCATCATGCCAATCATGCCACCAGTGTTCTGCTGGATGGTCGCGCCCGAGATAAACATGACCTCCAGCTTGCCCAAGCTCACTTTACGTTGGCTCAGCGCTCGCTGTGTTCCTTCCGCAATGTTTCCAAAGAGGTAGCGGCGCTGGTCAAAGTGCAGCATCAGGGCCGGGCCCGTATCCGCCGTCGGCGTCGCCGCGATCTGGAAGTAGTTCGTCATGGCGGCGCGGATGTCTTTCTTCTCTCCAGCCGGCGGTAACTTTGTGTAGTGTGTCTGTTCCGTCTCTGGCCCCTGAATCAAGTCGGCACAGTAGATCCAAGAATCTGAGATCTTCGCCGAGACCTTGTTCCAATTGGCCGGTATGCAGAAAACCCGCTTGTTGGGGAACGATTCTGGGTCACCACGGACAACGTCTCTCCTAGCGATACCACCGGGATGCTTGTGCCCTACGATTGAGGCCAAGAAATCTGCCGTGGGCAGTGGGCGTGTGCCGCGTTTGTTGGTGTTTAAAGCGTACTTCTGCTGGAAGGGCTCGCGACGTTCTTTATTTCTGCTTAAAGGCTCGTCGTATTTGCGGTAGGGCTGGTTTCTGCGAAAAGGTCTCTCGTCGCGGCGAAAGGGTTCGTCTCTGTCGTCCCTGCGAAAAGGCTCGTCTCGGTGGTAGCGTTCCTTATTCCTGCTGAAGGGCTCTTCGTATCGGCGGAATGGCTTCTCGTCTCTGCGAAAGGGCTCGTATCTGCGGAAGGGTTCTGCGTCTCTCCCAAAGGCCTCGGCGTCTCGTCGGGAAAAGGTGGCGGACGGTGTTCTGTTAGAAATCGGGGTGGCGAGCGGGACGTCCTTATTGTAGGTCCGACGCTTGGCTCCGTTATCTCTGTTGATGAACCCAGTCTTTGCCTGCCGGGAATCGACAATATTCAACTTGAACTTGGAATCGAACTTGCTGTCGACCCTGTTTTCGAACTTTGACTCAAAGGCGTCGGCCAAGGAATCTGCGGGCTTTGGTTTCCTGTTGTTGGATCGGTTGTGGTAGGACACTCGAGAAGAGACGGGGAGGAGGAACGGAGGGAACGGAGATGGCAAAGCTCTAGCTGATCCTTTCCGGGGGAACAGCGAGGTGTATGGGAAACGATTATTCAATGTTTGCGCCACATGTCTTTGGGTATACGGGCGGTACATGAAGTTGAAGGAGTGTGGGGAGCGCAGAAAAGGCTCACAAAAAAGGGTATAAAACGGGCGACGACCAAAAAAATTAACTGGTGGATATCAACACATTGGAGAAGGGTCAGCGTGCAGCTACGGAGAAAAAAAAAAGATCGACTTGACTGGCTGGAATTTGGTGACTGTTGCGGCGACGTGGGACGGGACGGGGAGTGACTGCAGTCGGCCAAAAAACTTTCCCACAGAAAGGACCCTTTGCCGATAAGAGCTTATCAGGTACACGTGATTTCTGTCAGCTCTGCCTGAGGTCCATGGATCTTTGGGGATGATTACATAATACGACAGACGATGAACATGGGCATCGTGAATCTCGTTCCAATTTGGCCATCTTGTAGGTATTCTAAGCCCATAACAGTTGATCCCGTCAATAATTCCAACGCCATGAGACGGCACCAGTCAATTTCAGTCCGTAGCGCTCGCTGAAAATTCAATCTTGTGGCCTTCTTTCCCCAAATAATTCCACAAACGCCAAGTTTCCTTCACCCCTGACCGTGACCAGCAATTTTGATGAACCCAAGCCTTCCAGTTAACCACTTTTCAATCTCTCCTCACAGGCCGCGAGGACGAGTCCTTCTGATACTGCTGATTCCGTCCAAGAACAACAGCCACAGCCTCCTCCGCAGACTTATACCGGAACCCCGCCGCTGTCGCCGCACCACCTTCTCTCAGCTTCGAGGATGCTGATGCTGCTTGAATCGTCGTCTTAGACATTGTAACAACCTGCGCCGCTGTCCGGGGCAGTCATAACGCTTGTGTAGCTTGCCATCCAAGACCTGAAGCACCACCACCGCTACGCTTCGCGTTCCCGGCCGTGTGGGCCGTCGTTCGGCTGCTGGCGGGGCCGAGTGGTTGCTGCATGTACCCCAGCTCGGCCTGCTCTGCCGCCGTGGTGGAGAGGGTGGTGCTGCTCCGTTGCGGGAACTGGCTTCGGACTGTAGCGGCGCCGGGGAGGGTCGCGACGCCTCCGAGGAGGAGGAGGGCTGATGACGAGGAGCGGATTGCGCTCATGATGTGACGATTTTTTGATTTTTTTTGTGGTTGACAGTTGATTTCAAGGTGTGCTTTTTCTCTTTCCCTTAAGGGATGGCTCTCTCGAGTTCAACAGGTTCTTTTCTTAGCTTTTTGGCTTTGGAGGTTGAACGAGGGCGTCCTGTCGACAGATACCTTATATATCTCTCGTTTTGACCAAGGTACATACATCTGCACGCACGCTCGGATTGTTGAGGTCGCACATACCTACTCCCCACGCAAATCAGAGTAGACGTGGGAGAAAGTAGCGTTCCATTCCTGCAAAGGCGTGGCCAAACACCTCGGAGGCATTCCATCAACCGCCGCGGTGCGTCCTTGCATGCGAAACAGAGCCAATGCCCGCTGCGGAGGAAGGCCGCCATGCCACGCGCCGTGTTGATGGGAATGGCGGGGGAGGCAGTAGGTACCTCCGTACACATCAGGGACCTTGTGGAAGAGTACGGCGAGAAAGTGAAGGGGATCAGAATACCTGAGCATTTGAGTGTGCTGAGGTGGCTTTCCATCCCCCCACGGAGCTTCTCCTGGTGGTTGATCAGCGATACCTAACACCAATCTCGCCCAGCAAGGAATCCGTTGTCTTTACTTTCTCGCCTCTCAACGCGAATCTCAATGGAAACCCATGCACGGGTCTGCATACCCATGGGCTTTTACCAAACGCATCGAGTCCATGTCTCGAGGAGAATGTCTCGCATCCCATCGCTTGGCATCTCCCGTGCTACATAACACCAGTTACCCCCGCGCTCAGCCGTTGAGACACCTTCATCTCTGAGCAGATGCGCACACGCGCTACAGCCAGCCCTCAACAACATATGAAGCCCAGGGCTGCATTTACAGCCTGTGCGCTCCCGAGATAAGAAGGAGAGACAAGTACACGGCCAAACAGCCTTGATCCAAACTCAGAATCAGGTGCTTTGAATTTCTTCAAGGTCAAAGTTGATGATTTGCCAGTCAACCAAAAACACAAGAGAGAGACTGTGGTGTTTATACATTCTCTGGCCTCGAGACATCGCACCATGTCTGGCTTGTCTAAGTATATATACAATCCTGTCTGGCTTTTCGTATCTGCCCTTCCTGGAAAGTATGTAGGTATTCCGTTGGAAATGTTCCTCGTGAAAAAGGAAGTGTACCTTATGCACCTGAGTGTGCCTGACAGCTGACAAAGAAGCTTATCTTGATAACTCTATCTTATCAGCCAGGCAATTGAACCTCCTCCACACGCTCCAAGACACGCCTCTCTTCTCTCTCCACATGCGACCACCCAAGACCCTTCCGAGTTCCGATTTCCATCCCCCGAATCTCTTCCGGGCCAGCGGACGGAACGATAACTAATTACCAATCGCCAATTTGTCAATCGCCATGTGTGCCTCTTACTCTACTGGCGTCTTTGGTAAGGAGCCAAGTAACAAAGATACTAGGTGTAGATATATTTCCAAATACCTTCGTACCAACCAGTCAAAATCACCACCGGGTAATGCATCAAGCGACCCCAACCACCAAGTCAATTGCATCATTAGGGACAAGGACCACACACCGATCCCTGCACGTTACCCCTCCAAATGCCCCTCGTTGGCGACACCTCGACAAGGTGCAATTTTGGTGTGAACCTCCACGTCACCCCACTACCCATTCCCTCTCCCCCTCGGCATCTACTCCACCATCCGAGAAGGGGGGTCCGGCTCAGGGTAGGTATCGGGTGCCTTACGGCTAGGTCAGGTAAGCTAGCAAAGCAAGCATCCGTAAGCAACATGCCGCAAGTTTGAGCGAGTAAAGCACTCCGTAGACCAGAAAGAAAGGGGAGACGGGACAAACGCAAAGCTTCCACGTTCATATCATTATCCCCCCCGTCAAGAAAGTGAAAAGTGGATTCCCGCATCCCGCAATCGCAATTCTGGCTTGCCCCTCCTCCTCCTCCACTCCCGTTCCGTAATCCCGACGATATAAAAACCACTTCAACTTCCGCATCCCACAATGTCATCGCGCACCGCACTCCGTAACCTCACCAGACCAAACATCACCACCAACCTCATCCGTCCTCTCCATCTTCAAACACCAACACCGCGAACCCTCACAATGACATCCCAAAACAACTCCAAATTCGCCGGCGGCACCAGCGCAACCCACAACCCCCACCCAGACTTCAAATCCGTAGAATCCACCCGCCCACCCTTCAACACCGAAGCCTCCATCACCTTTACAAAAACAATCTCCCCCGACTGGTCCTTCGGCTCCGGCGCAAACCCCCTAGGCCAACCTGGCCTCTCAACACCACATGTAGCAATCGATCCCCACGCAGAAGGCCGCCCAGCAGGCTTCAACTACAAACTCCTCATCTCCGCCATCACCCCTCGCCCCATTGCCTTCCTCTCCACCCGTTCCGCAGACGGCACCGTGACGAACCTTGCGCCCTTTAGCTACTTCAACATGGTGAACCACGACCCCCCCATGTTCGTCGTCGGCTTCGCCGCCTCCATCGAGAAACCCAAAGATTCGCTCAAATGTCTGCTCGAGAGTAAAGAGTGCGTCATCAACATCATCTCCGAGGGCTTCCTCGAGGCGGCAAACTCAACCTCCGTCAATGCGCCGTACGGCAAGTCGGAATGGGACGTAAGCGGGTTGACGCCCGTGTACGACTGCAAGCACGTACAGGCCGCGCGCGTAAAGGAGGCCGTCTTCAGCGTCGAGGGGAAGCTCGACTTTGTGAAAGAGTGGGATTCGCGCGCTACACCGGGGAAGAAGAGCGGCGTTACTGCATTTATTGAGGGTGTCAACTTTTGGGTGAGGGAGGATGCTATCAATGAGCAGAAGAACATTGTCGATCCTACTGTAAGTCCTTTCTCATTTTTAAATCCGTGTTCCCTAGCTCTCATGGGTTACGTGGGAAAACTGGAATCTAACTTGATAATCTCTAGGTACTTCGCCCTGTCAGCAGATTAGGCGGCATCACCTATGGCCGCACCACCGAGGTCTTGGAGATTCCGAGAGCCGACTGGGATAGCAACATTGGTGGCGAGGAAGGCTACGAGAAGCTCAAGAAGAGCAAGCAATAGAGACTCATAGTGGATTTTCCTTCAAGAACCAAGACGCATAGTCATTTTTTCAGGTCAAGGTGGTATTGGAGGGAATCCTCAACAATAAGATGCCCATACGCCCCCGAGATATAATATATAGAAATTAGGTGGCATTCAAACAAGACGCGGCGGCCCATCATCATCATCACGGCCGCCAATGGATATATAGAATGCGACAAATGGTGCGCGTAAATACATGGTATATATATCTCCTTCCCTCCTCTTGTCTCCCCCTTGAAAACTCCAAGATAAAACCCCATCGCACTCATCCTCATCGTGAGAACTTCATGCAAATCGTATCTTCATGGAATCGGCAGCTAGAACACCCTGCGACCAAACGCCACCCAAAGCATTTCAAAGGTAGAGACTCTGCCCCGCGTGGGAGACAATAAACTCGCAGCCCAGCTGGGCATCGGCTTCGTAAGCCTCGAGTTCTTGCAGAATTAATTTTCCTTGGTTCCTTCCATCCGGGCGGTCCTTGACGTGGATAATGACTATTTTGATGCCCTTGAGAGGTGGGCCCTTGGAGTGCCCGTCCTCCGTCTCGCTCCATCCTTCAGCCTCACGCAGAGACAATTCCTGTGTAGGAGTTGTCAGATGCGGGCTCTCTACCGATGTAGCAGCAGGCGGCAGTGGTGGTACGTGGCCAATGTCTGCAGACACAGCACGCTTGGCCACTGATTTGGGGCTGATTGGGGACTCATCGCCGCCAGCAAGGCGCGAAAAGGCGCCTCCTGTCCTTCGTCGTGGTATCGTGTCGGGTTCTGCTATACGCTTCCGCTTCCGGGAGGCATGGACATCTCCTCGCGCCTCCTCAACAGTCTGAGCCAATGCGTGCATCTCTTCCATCACATAACGGGGTTTTAGATGGCCAAATAAGCGATCATCAGAGTGCGAGTCGTCGTAGGAGCATTCGATGAAAATGGCAGCAAGTTGGCCAGCTACAATTTTTGGAGCGGCTTCTTCCCAAATCGTCAAATTACGAGGGGAGAGTGAGATGGAATCCGGCTCGACGTCTCCAAAGATGAGTATCTCTAGGTTAGTAGCCATGTCGAGGATAAAGTAAGCAGAAGACTCATAAACGCATACACTGGCTTGCGGCTCCGGCGCAACCGATGGTGCACGAGGGATAGGCGCAGTGCTTGAGGCCAGGCCGTATGGCAGTATGCGCGGCGATGCCATGGATGCGGCATCGACAGAGGGGTATCGCAGGGGTGTTGCAGTAGACGAGGTTGAGCCGCGATGTGGGTGTCGCTCAATGCAGTGACCGTGTGAAACAGAATACGCCTTGATAGCGAGGCGATCCGCAACCTCTAGATATCCTTTAGACTCGCCATCGCCAATGGCTGGCGACCCTCCTTCAACCAGCCGAGTATACGTGACTAAGCCCGCACCGTTGCTTTCGTCAGACAAGTTGGGCCAGATGACATTGTTGAATATGTGGGTTTTGAGAGCGTTAACCGTTGAGGGCAATGCAGCAAGGCGCTTGGGCCTAGTAAGACCTGCTGTGTTCACGACGAAGCCGGAGATGTGATCGAGATGAGGATGAGTAATCACATACGTGTCGATGAGAGTACGAGTGATGAATGAGGCGATGGATGATGGATACACTGCGCCTGTTGCGACCTCCAACTGACTGTTTGGTGTAAGCTGCAGGCCTGCAAATGGCCCGGAGGCAAGGGTGTGGGGGAGCGGAAGCTGGGTGCCGAGGCCTGGAGGTGCCGTATCTTCAAGAATGCGTGTAATCGCCGAAAGATGAACGCCGGCATCTACGGCGATGATGGAGCCTTTTGTCCACCCCGAGGCGACTGAGCGGACCAGAAGAGCGGTAGTATTGGATTCCTGGGGACCGCCGCCAGCACCCTAGAAATTTGGATTAGTGGAGGTGTGGACATGATGGGGCCACTCTTTGAAGGGATCCTGGCCAAGAAGCGATAGGTCATTCTCGTCGCATTGAAAGATGCGTCTATCTCAGTCGCATGCGCAAAGTGTTGAAGAAGAACTGCCGACTCTCCCTCGCCCAAGGCTGCTGCACTTGCAAAGGTTCCAGGGGTTGAGGCGCTTGCAGCATGGATTTCCCATTCGGTACGGTTGGCGCACCCCGATAAAGTCGACTGCATGAACGACAAGAGGATATGCGCCGGGCGGCCGGGTCGGGATGATCTCGTGGGGGGACATTTCCTCCCTTCAGGAGAAACACACTCGACACGTCGGGGCCCAACAAGCCTCGGGGATGTGAAAGAAAACGCGCCCGATCTGCGACGTCGAAAGTCGGCAGTGAGGCGCATCAAAAGACGTGAGATGTGAGAGTGCAACGTACCAGGACAATGACCTGCAAGGCCGGCCGACGGGAATTCTCCGACTTCTCCCCATTTGTGTCTTCCATGGCTGGCTAGCTGTTGATGCGAAACGAAAGAATAAGTTGCGAAGAGGGTTGATAGAATTAGAATTCCTCCCAATGCCGAGAGCGCAGCCAATGCCGCCTCTACAAAGCCACCACCCTGCCTAGACGGGCTGCCAATGCCACGATGAGGTAATGGGGACTGTAGCAGACAAGACGGAACGGCACGGCAGATGAGAATTGGCATGCGACGCAGCGACGGTCTTCGTTCTGGGCTGGTGGGGAAGATGCAATCAGTCGTAGTGTACAGAGACGCGCGCTCCGGTGGGATTTGATGGTTGGTTTGCAGGGGCTGACAGATCTGGAATCTGTAATATGAGTGAGATCGTCGGTAAGCGCAGGGTGAGGGTGTCGTCGGTGAGTGGTTGGTTCGGCGTCTTCGCAGACAAGGTAGGTTGGCAATGAGAGGAAAGTAGGTACTCGGCAGGCTTGGCAGATTGGATGCTGATGTGCGTGGAGACGCAATGACGGGCGTAAGGTTGCCGGGAGACGAAGTATGTAAGAAGGTTGAGAGATAGACGATGGACGGGAGAAAGACACAGTTTTGCGATCTTGATGGAGGGAGGTCGGAACGAAACAGGGCTGGGGCTTTCGTCAGGTCTGATGTTTGCGCCCACCACCCCCTTTGCGGTTTCTGGATCTTCTCTCTTTCAAGGATCCCTTTTTGACGGTCTTTTCCCCACAGCCAAGCCAGAGAGGGAAAGAGAAAAGGCCAAAAGGAAAAAAGGAAAAAAAGGGACGCGGATGGATCTCGAGATGAGATGGACGGCTTCTCCGAAGGCCGACGTCGTGGCTTCCGGGATAGGTGGGTTTGAGTGGTGCCCCAGCCGGCGGTGCTTCTGTACGGTATTAATTGGAGAGTGGAGAGCTTCTGGGAGCTGGAGCTGGAGCTGGAGCTGAAGCGGAGCAGCAGGTCGGATCTTGTCTTTGCGACTCTTTGGCGGGCGCGGTACGAGCGTGTGAAATCGGCGCGGATGGCAGCGGTCGAGTGGTGTTTAAGTCCGATGGCCAGGGGGTTTTTTTTTTTTTTTGAATGGCTTTGTTGCTCTGGGATTGTGTAGGATCGAATTAGATGGGAGACGAAGAGAGTCCAGACCAAGTCGCTTTGACGTGACGACAGAAGGGCAAGACAACGCGGGTGCGCGGTGCAGTTGACTTGCAGCTGCGAGTGCGATGCAATGTGTGAGAGAGTGAGCGTAAGCGACCTCGGTCAGGTGCAGCTGCTGTGCAGTACGCAGTAAGGTAGGGTATTATGCGACGTGCAGTGACAATGAGGAACGTGGATGGGCCAGGGACTCAAGGGGAGTCAAGGGGGTTGCTGTGTTGGGTGGTGGGATGGATGCCCAGGTGGAGGGATTTGGGGATGGATGGATGGAGGGATGACTTTTGGAGGTGCCCTGCTACATTAAGGTAAAAAAAAGCGTGGATGAAGCGTAAAGTAGCCACCAAATGTTTGCGACAGCAACTTTTCTCTCTGTTGTCGGAATGCGCGGGAAAAGATACCACAACCACCTCTTCAATAAAGAGTACTTGCAGGTACCGATCCTGAGACGTGATGACAGAGCAGAGAAGAGCAGCAGCTCTTACTTTCTGCTCCTGCCTCCTGCCTCCTGCCTACTGCAAGTCAACCTGGTGAGCCGCTCCTGCTCACTGGGAAGCAACGGAACTCTGATACGGCAACAACCCTCGTGTGCCGCTGCTCGCACCTGCAGCTTTAGGTCCGATAGGCTGGGGAAGGCAGGTGCTCACTTGGCTCGTGCACTCCAATCGTGCTGCTCTTGCTGTTTGTTGTCTGTTTTCTCTCCCTCAAGGTATCCAAACCCTCTCCAAGCATGGAATTAACAGACAGAAAGAGGAAAGCACAATGACGGACCTCCTGGCTGTGACTTCCCGAACGATGTTGGATCGGATATCGGGCCAATGTCTGGTATCTGTAAATGGGCGGGACCTTCCAGTTCTGATCCTCCAGGGCGTAATTGCCTGAAGCCAATAGCTTAAGGTGCCGTAACTTGTAAGGCAGGTAGGTTCGTTCCTTTGATGGTCTCCCCAGTCCGTGAGGTGCCTTCCAATCTTAACAACAGGTGCAACTCGTTGCGCAACGTGACAAGCACCTTCCTCGCAAACTCTCAACTCTGGGCAACGTGGTGTCGACGTGTCGTAGTCTTTTCTGGTGTCGTCGCATCAATTCTCGCTCGTTGTTCTTCCAAATTCAATCTTGCTCTTCGGCTGCACATCTGCCTCTTTCAGTCTTGGAGCTTCTCGTCTCCACAAACTCAATTGCAGCCAATGTGCTCCCTAGGCTATTTTCGTGTCGACGACGCCCTCTTCGGCCAATACTGCCAAATCAAATCCTGTTTCGGCTTTCGTGCTTGTCGAATGTCGGCGAGGTCAGGTCCCATCCAAGACGCTGTCGAAGATCACCCGATGCCCTCCCTTCAGGGCTAAGCTTCAGCCCAGTGTTCCAGCTCTGTGCCGTCTGATGTCCGATCGCCGACGGCTCGCGGGGATGAGCGGGCTTCGACACCGCACCAAGACAATCCCAAGTTGCCCCTTGAAGCTCGATAATGGGATGAAGCGAATCAGGCACTCTGAACCCTCTTCCCGACGGCAATCACCGCCGTGCTACCCGTAGCACGTATCTGGGATCCTAATGCGATGAATCGTCACTGGTTTTTGCCTTTTGTCGCAAACTGTCAAAGCCAAAGAACAAAAATGGAACGATGGAAGAAGAGGGGGAAACAAGGTAATAAGTCAGTTAAGATTTACTTTGGTCAATGTCTGAGTCAAAACCACCACGTCGAATTCGTCGAGAACAATACTCCAAGCCGACTGGCTTCCTTTTTTTTCGCAAGGATGTGCAGACTATTCTTACCAGCCATGACGGCGACTGCTAGATAACTCGCCTCTCTATTTGTACTTTCACATGAGCTCAACACCCTCGCATTGTCCCATCCTCAACATTGACTGACATACCTTACACACCACACGGATAGACAACTTTCAGCCGCCAGGCTCTGCTACGCCTTCCCGCCCCCGCCAACGCGCGCGCATCGTTTTGCCCTCCTCGTTCCCACCTAGCCCTGCCTTACATCTAGAGGAGCACGAGATCCATAGGCTGTGCAATAGGAATCGATCCAGCGGCTCGATCAGAACGAGACTACTCTATACCATCTTACTTGCACGGCGCCCTCCTGCATCGTAGCATCTCCGTTCAGGACTAGCGCCCCTATTCCTCTCGGCCTCGCCGTGCTTTCGCACGCCAACGTTTTCTACCCGCGGGGCCGCGAGAGCTACGATTCATTCGCACCAACACCGCGGCCCGCTTTCACCTTGGCCGACCTGCCCTTTCTTCGTCTGTCATCCTCGAGTCTGTTCAGCTTCTGCTCGTCTGAGGATACCGGGATACTTTGTACGAGCTACGGCGTTGCCAATTCGTTGCCCAAGTCTCCATCCTCCAAGCAAAATGGCCATCCACACCATGTCACCGCTTCCGGTTATCCCCAGTTCATTCTGCGGCCCCTCCATTCCGCTTCTCTTAATCGAAACTCTGTTATGTTGAGGGCTCCGCAGCTAAAGTGCCCCAAGCCATGGCTATTGAGCCAAAACCTCATCCGGCCCTTTTGGCGCCCGCTTCCTGGCACCTGTGAACAGCACTTGTCCGAACTTTCCCATCTTTCTGGGGTCGATTTGAGGCCCGTTAGCGCGGGCGCGTGCTCTCGGCCGCAGCCTGCCGCCCGACCGTTTGGAACCGTCGCATGGCGGCCGCGCCGGCCCAAGCTCCAGGACCCTTGGCAACAGCCTGGATTGTGAGTCAGGTTTCACGCTCGTCACTCGAGAAATGCACTCAAGTCTTGGGTTAGAGATCTGTTATTAATCATGTTGATACTAGGTTGGTCTGTATCGCTGATTCGTTAAGGCCTCAGACCAGGCTTCTTATCCTCTTCTCCTCCCCGCCTTCTTGGGTGCATCTATATCTAATATGGGGTATCAATCCTGTGCTCTTACGCTAATCGCAGTCGTGTGAACAAAACCCCTTGCTCCGGTCCAGAAAACAAACATTCCAATGTAGCTACGACTTACAAAGGTTTTTTTTGGGGAGAGGGGGGGGGGGGGCACATGGTTCTTCACCTCAGAGTAAGGTCGACAAAGGCATCAATGATCAACGTCTTTCAACGGGTGAATAGCACGACTGTTTCACACGTTTGTTCCAAGTAACGGCTGTCTGGGGCTGAGAGGCGCTGTCATTGTCATCATACTTGTAATCTTGGCGCTTTCTCTTATCGATGATACTCGGACGGGCCGCCCTGGTTGCGGGAGTTTTTTGGCCACCTTCTTCGTCGTCGCTGTCAAGCTCCTCGACGATGGAGTGCCCCTTTTTGGACACATTTTTCTCGTTGACTCTCTCCACGTACCAATCGAGGTCGCCCTTGTGCTTGTCAATGGAAATGCCGTTCCTCTTCTTCCGCATGTTGCTCCGCACCGGGGTCTCCAGCGCCAGGTGCTTGGTCGTCAGCACGTACCATAGCTTGGCTTCCCGGCCGACCTGGCGGTTCTGAATGGGGAGACCCATCATCTTGTTCGTCTCTGCCGACCTTTGCCATTCTTCGTAGGCGGCCTGCTGGGACATGCGCCACTCTTCAAACTCCATCACCAGCTCGTCGTGATCACGGGTCATGGCCATGGGGTTGCGCTCTTCCTTTTCAAAGTAGCGGGCATCGGGCTTCAGGTCGAATGCTTGGGCAACCTCGAGGAGATCGAAGCAGCGATCCATACACCACAAGTGCATGTAGCCCGCGTTGTGGTACGGATCGTGCTGCTTCCCCGAGGTTTTGGGCCGCTCGTCGAAGCAGACGCGCCAGAAGCCCTTCAGGATGGTGCCCTTGTAGGCTGGGCAGCCTGACCAGCGGCACGCGCGTAGTCTGTCATCGCCCACGCGCGTCTTACAGCCATGGGGAACATTTTGGATCCAGAGGGTGAGGGGAAGACCTCGCTGCTTCCGCTCCCTGATATAGTACAGGATCTGCTCACGGGTGAAGCGCAGATTCGGTAGCAGCTCGCCCTCTTTGTTGTACTGAAACATGGGCTTTGTATGGTCGTGGCCGCCCCAGGGCGTAGGTGCCTCGGGGAGGGAGTCATACCAGTCTGAGGCGTCCACGTCCTTGGCCTTGGCGGGCTTGGGGATACGCTTGAGGATCTTTCCATTTACGACGGGGGTTGTGAGGTCTCTGGATGCAGTGTGAGCTGGAGTCAGGTACGATTGGGGATTAGGAGTGCCGGCTTCAAAGAGGCCTTGTCTGTTGAGGATGCTGTAGGGAATCGCGTCTGTCGGTGCGGTTGACAGGCTGCGACGGTGGATGAAATCGGCAGGAAAGGGGGGTGATCTGGGCTTGGGGTGCACCAGTCTCGCCGTTGCGACGGCGGCGGGAGTGGGAGTGGTAGCAGGCACACTGCGCGGGATGGACTGTGGAGTGGTCAGAGGGGTGAACAGTGGAAGGGAATAAAGGAAGTTTACCGAATCGTCGTCATAGTTGAAAGGGACCTGACCCGACGAAACATGTGCCAAATCAGGGACCAAGGGACCAAACTCGGGCTTTGGAGTCAAATGGTGTTGAGGTTGCGGCGGTGGAGGGGCGGTAAAGACGTCGGTAGCGGTCTTTGGCGAAGGGTGAAAGAAAGTCGTCGAGGAGGCGGGCTCCTGTTTGACGTTGCCGAAGTCGAAGCCGTGAAAGTTGGAGGCTTCTTGCCTGACGGTGGCAGGGCTGTAGGATTCGAGGCCGTCATACGTCGTTTCCCTCTTGGAGTCGTCGAAATCAAAGGTATCGAGGTCAAAGACTTCTCGGGCGTCTCCGAGTACAGAAGACGGGTGGTCACCGCACGGTCGTTGGTAGGCAAACATGTCGCGGGGAGGAGGGGAGTCAAAGAGATCTTCACCACCACCACCACCACCGCCAAGCCCCGCAGCTGGGTTGTTGTTCAAGTCCCATGTCGTGTCACCACTGGACTCGAGGCCGTCGAAACAGGGCCAGAGAACACTCGGCGGCGGAGAGGGCCACGATGTGCCGATGCAGGGTGCTGCTCCTAGGGCCGGAGTCGGGGCCGCGGTGGGGAGTTGGAGGGCTTCGGTGATGGGGCCTTCGAGTTCCTCGAAGAGTGCCTGGAGCTTTTGGTCGTCGGCGAAGGGTGTCGGTTCGTGCTTGAAGTCTTGCTGGAAATCCTGCTGGTATTCTGGCTTGAGTTCTTGCTTCAGCTCTATCGGCTCTATGCTCGGTAGCACAAGAGCTGTGGCGTCTATGGTGGGAGGTGTTAGTTGGCGCTGCTCCTGCTTGAGTGGCGGTGGTGTTCCTGGAAGTGTGATGGAAAGAACATTGGGGTTTATCGTTGCGACCTGCGCAGACTTGGCCTCTTCTTGCTCGTACTTGAGTTGGAGACCATCGTTGGAGGTATCATTACCTCCAAAGAGCGAGCCATCCGAGATTTGGCTCTCGGAGAGCTGTGATATTAAGGCCTCCTCGATGGCGGTCTCTGGGTTTTGCGCAGTCTTCTCCTCCTCGACTTCAGGGACCGGCCCTTCGGCGCAAGCGTCGTCAAAGTTGAAAAAGGAATCTGCATCTCCGTAGGAGTCGTTGCCGTAGCTGAAAAGGGTTCCCGGGAGCTGGTCTGGGCTGAACTTGTCCATCACCGGGGTGGACAGTATCATGGCCATGATGTTTCCTGAGTTGTTGCAAATTTATGAATAGAAGGCTGTGGTGCTGTTCGTCCCTTTCTGCTTTACTTTGCTGCTGTTCTCTTCGAAGATTAAATGAGATCAAAGTGGTTCGTGTAGTTGAAAAGTCTGTACTTGAACAAACCGTAGTCGAACTTGTCTGTAGTTAAAGGTGAGTATATACGGCGCAAGAGTGAAAACGAATCGAATGTCTAGATAGTCCGAAGTCGGGGAGAGTAAGGATGCTGGGAAGGGTGGGCGCACAACACGATATATAGGCATAAGTGTGGTAGTCATCCCTTCCACAGTGGCAGAGCAGCCTCGAGGTCAATGAAGAAGGACGTGCATAAAGAGACTCGGTGATGGACAACGGGGACGCTGGGAGGCGACATTGTTTGATGTGTTTGAAGATTGTCTGGCTGACAAAGGTTGATATTGCTATTATAGATACTTAATTGGTACGGACAAAGTGCGAAGAGAAGAAAAAGTGCTGGAACAAGACGTCGGTGGAAGTAGACAAGAGGCCTATCCGAGAGAGGACAAGAGACGGGCTCCTCTTGTTCTTCAACAATGGCCTTCTTGGGTTCGAGTTGGGCCAATCCAGCCTGGTGCTCTGCATAGATGTTCCTGTCTAAGTTTTCGTCAGCGACTGAAGCATGATCAAGATGCTGAAGACATGTTTGGGTAATGATTTGATATCAGGAGTAAAATGCTCGTTTCTCGACAGTAAATTCCGAACAGGTCTGTGAATAAATGCTTTTCTCATCATTTAATGGGTTGAGGGTGGAAATGAGGTAAATGTTAGACATACCACTTGACTAGGTTCGACGAATGATGAGCTGAATCACCTCAGGTTTGCCTGTCTGGGTTAGCTAGGCGCAGCGAGACTGGGAGTGTGCCGTCGACTTCTGATAGTCTAAGGTAGGATTCCGAGTCCCGTGAGTCCCGTATGGCATCTCGAGGAGTCGAGACCACGGGTTGTAAACCTCGCAAGGCCCGTCTTTTGTCGCGTCGTTTCGGCCGTAGCCGCGCCGGGGAGTGAACCCGTGGTCGTGCGAGCTCGATGACCCTCAACGGCGGGCGGTAAACGATGATCAAAGGCGTCTTTCGCCTGACCATCCGTCATACCATGCCGTCCGGTAAAGGAGGCGCCAAGGGGATGAAAGAACACCTGAGTGCCTGAAGGGAGACGATGTTTACCGCCTCACGTTTCGAGGCAGGTGTAACTGCGATCCCATGCTCGCAAATGAGCGTGACACCACCAGCTTGAAGCCGATTGCTGCCTGCACTGGCGCATCTATCCTAATGCCATCCTCGACTGGAAGCTTCACGCGGAGATGCCAGCCGAAGTAGGATGGCAAGCAGATGATGGAAATGCTATAAGGTGAGGTTGAATGGTAGAAAGAAAAACTTGATTGACGGCGGATAAATAAGCGTCGAGAACGTTGGTCGAAAAAGGTCGGCGACGAATGAGAGGGCCCCGCAGCCCTGTCTGGGTCCGTGCATTCTGGACGCCGTTGCGAAGTTGCGAGGAAGGAACGAACCCCTGCCTATGCCTCATGGTGTTTCTGACACTAGTCCCTTCCGGGAAGAGCACCTACACTCGATGGGGGTCCTTGACGAGCCAGTGATATGCTCTCAGTGAGAGCAAACGATTCTTGATTACAGGCGGCAGAAGAGCCTGCTACTGGAGCTGGGGAAGGTGCTTGTGTGTGACCAAACTAATAATCAGGCTCGCTTTACTCGAATTACGTACGCTGCATGTCTATGATCTATCACTCTTCCCTCAAAAGCATCCCGTATGCCCACCTGGAGAACTCTATCGACTTCGCGTCGACAAAAGTGGTAGTAAGATCTGCAACATATATCGCCGCAGGTGCCCAGAGGAGGAATGCCAACAAGATGGCAAATACGTAGGATGCCTGAGAGTCTCCGCCATCGACAAGACCTACAGTCCAGCGACCTAAGACCAAGCCTAGTGAATAAAGCAGTGGGCCATGAATCATGTACAGCGAGAAAGAGATCTTGCCCATGTACTGAGAGAAACGGTTCGTGAAGAGAATCTGCAAGAATTCGGCATGGTCGACGACGAGCACCGTCAGCACTGCACCGACTGGTATGACAAGGCACTCCTGGTATCGTGCTGGAATCCAGGAAACGAGCGTCACGTAGCCGGGTGCCTGCGCTGCCTGCTCCATGTCCTCGGGCATGCTGAGCAGCCACAGCGAGATCACAAATGATACAAGCCCGACGACGCGTCCGAGAATGCGACGAGACAGTATACTGCCTCGCTTCGACATCCGATGCGCGTCCCCATCCAAGGATTGTGGTTCGGGCCGCGGGGCCAACCACCGCCATTGCCGTTCCTCGAGCTCGAGATGCAGATCGCACAAGAACATGCCGCTAAGGAACAGGAACATCCCAAAGTAGACGAATAGCCATTCGAGATAGATCGCGAGGCCAAGCGCGAAGAACATCCTCACCCTGTTGCGTACTCTCGTGAAGGCCGATAGGAACATGAACACCACCATGGAGCTGATGAACTCGAGCGGAATCGTCCACTGGTGGGGATCGTATATCGGTTCCGGAATGTCGGAATCGGCCCGGACATGAGGCTGGCCGATGGGATCGGTGACCAAGGTCTCGGCCATCAAATAATGCCGCAGCTGGCCCCAGAGAGTGTCAAAGTGCGGCGGAACCCTCGTCGGGTACGCCACACCGGGCAGCCCCTGGTCGGGGAACAAGTTGAGCCAAGTCATGATGGCGACAACGAAGCTGACCACGGCGGCGGGGAGGAAGAGCCGGGTATGGCGGCGGAAGACCGAAGATGCGATAGCCGAGCCTGCCTTGTCGAATTCTCCCCGGCGAGCCAACGTCAGGACGCGGTGCGATATTGTGTAGCCCGACACAACGAAGAAGACGGAGACGGGAGCGAGGCCTGAGACGACGAGCCGGAGGATAGGAAGTTGGTATAGCCACCATCGCCGAGGTGGGTTCGGTGTCCATGCTAGTTGGATGTCCCATGAGAACCACACCAGACCGCAGTGAACGAAGACGACACAAAGCGCTGCAATACCTCGCAAACCGTCTTTGACAACATGTTAGCCCTGGCAGGTAGAGATGATGAGGATAGTTCTTGTTTACCTAGCCAAGCTGTAGAGCGAAGTGGCTTCGCCTTGCTTTCTTTTGGTCCAAGGAAACTTGGGACCAAGAGGGAGGCAGCTTTTGAAACTTTTCTCCAGGTATCCTGGCGCCGTGTGTTGATGGGAAGTAGCGAGCCTTCTGCCTCTAATGTTGAGTCATCCTCTGCCTGATCTACCACGGGTTTGTATTCTTTGCTTGAGTCGAAATCTCCCAGTGGAGCGTACGCGTGCCGGCCGTCCATATCGTCGGAGTCGTAGGGTGGTCTGGGGAAAGACGACAATGCAGCTAAACCAAACCGAGCTCGACTCGAAGGGTAGCTGAGCTGAAGCTAGGGAGGCGAGCGAGGAAGTCTGAACTTATCACGTCCGGCACATGTGACTGCCAATGACGATAATGAAAGAAAGCAGGTGGTGTAAGAGCACGGAAATGGTGCTCGAGAACTATTGCAGTGCGAACAGGGCACACAATGGGTGCAAGTCACTACTTTAAAGGGACGAGACCGAGCTGCGCAGCCACAGCAGCGTGTGATGGGCTTCCTAGACGAAGTAACCCCCACTATGTTTTACTCGTCCGGTGAGAAACGAGCAAGTTCCATAAGCAGTAATTCCAGAGAGGCGTTTCATGATCAGCAGAGTTCGAGGTGATCTGGAGGGAAACGAGTTCAGACGACCCCTAGAACGGCTAACCGCGAGACACGG